GCATTGTCATTTAGATGAAGTTGTTATGGTGAGCAGAATGTTCCTTTAATTTGCTTAAAGGAACACTATAGTGTCAGAAATACAAACATGTATTCCTGACACCATAGTTGTGAAAACACTATTCACCCTGGCTTTATGTGATAATGACTATGCTTCTCCCCTTCATGACACTGTCAAAAAGGGGCCAAGCATAGATGTCATTACAATTATGCCCCCCACGGAAAAATTCCTGCGGATGCCCATGGTTACAGATCTAAGCTCTAGATGCCAGTGTTTATATTGCTCGGAACTAACATTTCAACTAGACAGTGTAAACTGAGCTTCTGCCATAATAGTGGGGTTCAGCGGGGCACAAGCTTTAATCCAGTAATTCAGTAAATATTCAGTAATAACAGATAAATAAAAGTGAGGTTGCAATCAGTGGCATACAAACGGAGGTGTGGGGCACACTGTGTCGGTGCTTGATATGCCGCCGGGTGAGATGCCCATCGCAGACACCGGTCTGCAGCTCCGCAGTGTGCCTCGTGAGATCTGATCAATCAGAGCGTTACCGCAGGTTACCACAGGAACGCTCTGACTGTGTCTCGTGAGCTGCAGACTGGATATTATGGCCACTGGACCACCAGGGAATTAAGGTATTTAGTCTGTCCCCCCCCCCCATCACCCCCTCACATCACCCTCTCATCATCACCCTCCTTCACACCATCACCCCCTCCCTCACCATCACTCTCACCATCAGCCCCCTCACATCACCCCTCTCATCATCACCCTCCCCTTCACACCATCACCCCTCCCCCTCATCATCACTCTCTCAAAATCACCCCCTCCCTCTCACCATCACCCTCCCTCTCACACTATTACCCCTCCATCACAGTAGTACTCCCCCTCCCTCTCACCTCCCCCACTCCCTCACACCATCACCCCCTCCCTCTCACCATAACCCCATCCCTCACACCATTATCTACTATACAAGCACACACACTGAATCCACTACACAAACACACTGCACTCATTATACAAACACACTACATACATGTAACGGCACCCTCAAGCATAAAAGGGTTAAACCGCCGTTTAGTAGATCTTCCCTTCCAGAGACACAGGCATAGCTACTGCAGAACACCAATCCGCCGAACAGGAAACCATATGAATGCTGTAAACAGCCGAATAGGAAAAACCATACGAATAGGTTTACACTCCTAGCAGTCAAACTGGAACAGCATAAAATAAATCCCCCCCAAGAACGAGACAAAGCTCTGTGTTGAGGGTCAAGCAGTGAACAGGAAGAGCTGTGGGTTTATTGTGCTTATGTACACATTCTTACACATTAGTACCACCCCATACAATACACTCAGACACTCCCACACAAATTCCTCCCCTCTGCTTGTGATTCAATTACCTTACACAATGGGTAATGTAATTTAGCACAAGCAGAGAAATACAATTTTTCCACATTATTCATAACTTGAAAAGTATGCATCACATTCACATAATTTTCAGAATCAGCATACTCCAAATACAAACATACGTCAAAATCATACAAATTGGTCCAGTGGTTCAAAAGATAGATCGTAGTCCTTTGTGACCACAGGAAGCATGGCTTTTCTGCCCAAAACCAGTTCCACAGAGTTTTCTATCCTGGAGATAATTGTGAAGTAATCCAATTATCTCCAAAGACAGAGGCAAAACTCCATTGAACACATGGCAGCAAAAAGACAGTAAAATACAATAAAATACACAAGGTTACATTTATGACATAAAATACAGACATGCAACATATGCCCAGATAGCTTAGGTCTAAGCGCACATTATTACTGAATGGCGCTCAGAGCACACACATACAGTTCAATTGCCATGGAGCCAAAGTCTTTCCCATAGTCTTTCATTATACAAATGGGCTCCATGGCATAGCTATCTGGGGTATCACTGCTCAAACAGGGCAAGCACCAAATGACCCGGCTTTCTTGTCTTTGCAGGGGAAAATCAAGCCTTTTAACATGGGGGCCATAATCCCAAGGCAACAGGCGAGCAACCCAGCTTCTCCAATGCAATGTGGCGAGATTGGTCTCGTCACAATACACTATACAAACACACACAGACACACACTTATACATGTGAGTCTGTGTATCTGTATGTGTGTTGGTATATGTGTATCTGTATGTCAGTGTATTTTATCTGTTTGTGTGTCTGTGTATCTGTTTGTGTGTCTTTGTTTGTATCAGTGTGTCTGTATGTGTGTGTCTCTATCTGTATGTGTGTCTATGCCTGTGTGTCTCTCTCTGTATGTCTGTATGTGTGTGTGTCAGTGTTTGTCTGTATCTGTATATGACTTTGTTTCTATGTAACTGCATGTGTGTACCTATGTGCCTGTGCATGTGTGCCAGTGTGTGTCTATGTGAGTATATATGTATATGTGCATACATCTCAGCATTTCGCCTACACTACACACAAATACAACCCTGCATTTAAATGTCAACACTACATAAAAACACACCACCTTATTCAAAAACCACACTACAGAAAAATGCACGCCTGCATTCAAATGCCAATGTGTGCAAACACACCCGTACATTCACTCAGGGCCGGCGCGTCCATAAGGCGGCACAGGCGGCCGCCATAGGGCGCACCGGCTCTGGGGGCGCAAAATTCCAGTGACCGGCAGGAGGGAAGTGCTCCCTCCTGCCAGGTCACCTCCTGGATCCCCGGCGCGGCGTGCGGCTGAATTGGATGCCGAGGTGGCGAGGGAGCTCTGATCTCTCTGATCTGCTCCCTCGCAGGCTGTTTACTGATGACGTCATATTCCGGCTCCCGCGGCATCAGTAAACAGCCTGCGAGGGAGCAGATCAGAGAGATCAGAGCTCCCTCGCCACCTCGGCATCCAATTCAGCCGCACGCCTCCCAGCAGCCCCACTGGACCACCAATGAGAGACCCACGCCAGCTCTCCAGGTAGGGAGGCTGGGTGGGAAATTTTTATTTAATTTAGATTATTAATTACTGTGAGTGTGTGTGTGCATGTGAGTATGTGTGTCTGTCAGTGTGTGTGTGAGTGAGTGTGTCTGTCAGTGTGTGTGTGTGTGAGTGTGTCTGTCAGTGTGTGTGTGAGTGAGTGAGTGTGTCTGTCAGTGTGTGTGTGTGTGTCTGTCAGTGTGTGTGTGTGCATGTGAATATGTGTGTGTGTGTGGTTCTGTCAGTGTATATGTGTGAGTGTGTGTCTGTCAGTGTGTGTGTGAGTGAGTGTGTCTGTCAGTATGTGCGTGTGTGCATGTGAGTACGTGTGTCTGTCAGTGTCTGTGAGTTTGTGTGTGTGTGTGTGTGTCAGTGTGTGTTTGTCAATGAGTCTGTCAGTGTTTGTGTGTCTGTCAGTGTGCGTGTGAGTGTCTGTCAATGAATGAGTGTGTCAGATAAGTGAGTCTGGCTGTCAGAGATGTCTGTGTGTTTGTCATTGAGTGTGTGTGACTGTCAGTGTTTCTACACCCCTGACTGTAGCGTGGCCAAGCGGAGTGTACCGTGGTACAGGAACTTCTGTTTCCTGTACCTAGCAGGACTGACAGGAAGAGCTCACTGTACCGGGATTCGCTCTGCTCAGCCACGCTACAAGAAAGGTAGGAGGCACACCAGGAAGGGGAGGGGACCACTATGGGGGTGGGTGGCGCACCAAGAGACAGGGAGAGGAGGGGAGAGATACCCTAAGGTACAGGAAAAGGAGGGAGGGGGGGAGAGGAATACTAAGTGACAGGGAACAGAGGGGGGAGGGGAGAGGAAAACTAAGGAACAGGGAAAGGAGGGGGGAAGGGAAAGGAACACTGAGGAACAGAGAAAGGAGGAGAGGGGAGAGGAACAGTAAGGGTCAGAGAAGGGAGGGGAGGGGACCATTAAGGGACAGGGACAGGGAGAGGGGCTGGATGTAAAAGAAACACACAGCGGGGCTTGAGAAGGAAAGAGACACACAAAGGAGCTGGGAAGAATAAAAGACACAAAGGGGCTGGGAGAAAAGGAGTCACACAAAGGGGCTGGGAGGAGTAAGACACAAAGTGTGGGAGGATGTAAGAGTCATACAAAGAGGAAAGATAGGAGACACACAAAGGCAAAAATAGGAGATAAAATACACTAAAGGGAGTCAGATATTTAAAAGACGGGATAAGAAACACAAAAGGGAGGTTAAGAGGCACATGGGCGAATATGTTTTTGGGGGGGCGGAAAAATGCATCTTCGCCTATGTACCCAAAATTCTTTGCACCGGCCCTGCATTCACTCACACATACTCCATACAAAAACATGCGCACATTCAAAGACACAAACACTGCTTGGTGCTAATTATATATTTTTTAAAATGTGCGGGTGTTTTTTACATTTTTAAGCTGGGGGGGGGGAGGGGGCGGCAAGTATAGGATCCGCCCTGGGTGCCAAATGCTCCAGGTACGCCCCTGGCTGCAATCAGAAAGCAGATGCAGAATTAGACCATGCCAGCGAGCTGACCCTTGTAGTGTAGAGCTGTGTGGTGTATAGCTATAGCAGCGCAATATCAATATTGGCCTCAAATTAGTTATACAGTATATGTAACTTAGCGTTCTAAGATCTAAATTCTATTATCTGCCCTCCACTATTCTTCCCAACTGCCGCACTGATATTTAAATACCTGAAATGTATCAGCCACTTTGTTGTTGTGTCCCTGTGTTTGTACCCATATAATCATAGAATCAGCTTTATGCGCACTGTTTGTGCCACCCTGTGTATGGACAGACTAGTTCGGCTGTTACTGTCTCTTTAAGGGACATTTAAATTTTTCCGCGAAATAAACGCGTGGCTACTCCTTCCTCCCAGGGGCTCCACTGGGACGCCAAGCACGTCACCCTGGTAACCGCCTTCCCCCGCCTCCCGCTGGGACGAACATTCTATTCGCTGGCCTCCGGTTGGCTGCAGCTGTGGGGTGGGCGTGTCCGGGGCGGTGCGAATGGAACGGAGACTGAAGCATCTTTCCTGTCTGCTGTCAGTTCCCGACGTGCAGAGCAGCTGAGAGGACCCGCTGGCCCGGGCTGCCGCATCGCTGTAATCTCCCCCAGCTCTTCCCATCCATCTCTGCACGCTCGGATCAGCCCTCCTCCCGCTGCTCCCCCGGCACTGACTGGCAGACCGAGCCCAGGCACCGAGCTTCTCCCAGCCACCCGGGAGGAGAGGATTGAGTGCATGCAGCACCGGGGATCCGCTCTCAGTGTGTACCTGTTTCACACAGCTTGGATATCTATTTATTGTCTGCAGAGAAATATCGCTGGATGTACGAAGAGTCTGCGGTTCCTCTAACGTGGATGGGATTAGTACTGGCTCTGGTGCTGCCTATTAGATTTTACCAGTGTGGAGTTTACAAGAATAATAACAAAGACATCTCTCTTTTTACTGTGTGTGTGTTTTAATATTTAAATGATTTTTTTTTAATATATTTGTTTCTGGGTTTACGGCTGTCATCCTTTATATAAAGAAAAAAAAACGTTGCCCCTGAGGCTTGAAAATAAATTGAATTTTCACTGCTAAAGGAAGAAAAAGGAGAAAATAAAGATTAATAATAGCAGCTTTCTTGCAATTTCAGATCTCTGCAAGAAGTGGAACATTTCTAAGGTTTTCTTTTTTAGCATTATTTTAAAGTCAATTTCTACTGCTCTTTATTTTGGTGGTTGGGGTTTTTTTGTTTTTTGTTTTGTTTTTCTCCAATCTGCCTGGAAATTATATCAAAGCTTTAGAATTTTTTTCTTTTCAATTATATATATATTTTTTGTGTGGATTATTGCCACTTTCCTTTCAACTCCAATGAAAAGAGCATAATACCAGACATTTAATTATATGAATGATTTGTGAGGACTGTATGTACATCCAAACTCTTTCATGTTTTTGCATCACTTGATTTTTCTTTTTTTTAACTTCTCACTGGATTTTCTTGGAAGATAAAGGCTATTTAAAGGAATAATATTCTTTTTGAAGATCTCCCATGCTTGGATTGGATTTTGGGGTTGTACTGAGACTTTTTTAATTTAAGGTATGTTTTATTTAGTGGATCAAAGGAGCTTAACCAGAAACAACTGAAGAGTTTATGGTAAATATTGGATGGGGTTGGATTTGCAATGTTTAAAATGCAAAATATTTTAAAAGTACATTTTAAGGGTATTAAATAACAGATGGTGGATTTTCCTCCCAGCTATCTCGTTTTTATGAATGCCGGTTTAAACTAGTTGCTTTATCTTAATCATTACCCATCTGTGTATAATTAATAGACATGCACATATATTAAATTCTTTGAAAGGGTTTTATTTTTTTCTGCAGGGGGATCCATAGACTAATTTCATGCTAGAATCTGACTTTCGCTGTAGGTACTTTTTTGGCAGGAATGTTGCACTGAATTCTATGCCCATAAAGCAGGTTTTCTAATACCGTAAGAAGGCTACAACCATAAGATGCCTTAACAGTATCTTTGAAGTTGTTTTTTTTTTTTTTTTTTAAAGAATATTAACACTAAGTGATATATTATGAACGCTTTTGTCATGTCATTATCATGTCAAAGGTTACAGATGAAATGAGCTCACCCATTTTAGATTGATATATTTGTGTGTGTGTGTGTGTGTGTGTGTGTACACACACATACTTACAGGGTTTAGGTAATCTTTAAATACACGTTTGAAACACAATTCCGGACTGTAAGAGATCAGTCAAATTCGAACTCCCAGCATGTTAATAGTTAACAGCACACTGTGTGGACCTGTTCTATAATCAGTTGAATATCCATTTTCACTCTTCTTGTTTTTTGTAAATGATGATGAATTGTCCCTTTTCTTGTGGTACAGGGAAATAAACAGAATACATTTGCATGACACATCTCACAAAGGTGGGTGAAATGATGCAGAATATATTCCTGTTTTCTTCAATAACAATCATTTTTCTAAACAATGTACATGTTCAGTGACTCTACATACAGATGATGCTTAAATAGTTTGATTACTCAAACATATGTACCTCTTTATGAGTTTGCAGTAGTATATTAAGCAGTTTCATGTATAAAGTGCTTGCTCTGTAGAAGTAAATGGATGCAGCACAGTAATCCTGCCATGGTCATTCTAGTAATTGAAGCAGACATATGGTTAACTCTTAAATGATAGGAATGCCCAGTGTGTGGCACTGAATGGGTTGAGGCCTATTTCAAAGATTTCAGTTTAAAAACCTATATTAATTTAGGTTTAGAATCTGATATCTTCTACACATGGTGTATGTGTTGCGAAGATTAGCTAAGCCTGTAGTGGTCTGAGGATTGCTATAGAATTGTTTATATGTATATGGCAACTAATGGACAAAATATACCCTTTTATTTTCTTATACAGAGAGTTGAATGTAGCCTGATAATAAAACATGGGCCTTTTTAAGCCCTGCTTATAGATGCATAAAAATATTTTCTGTAAGATTGAAACATCTGCACTAGTCTATTTTTGTGTTTTAATCATCAAATAGATTAGTGCCGATGTTTCAATCTTATTTACAGAAAATATTTTGTAGGGTTTTTTGTTTTTTTTTTTGTTTGTTTTTCCTCTACATCTCTTCCTACTATATGGTCGAGTGCAGTTAGATTTAGTCCAGGACTTGCTAGAGAGGGTATTAATAACCAAACCTAAATAAGATGCTTTAACTTGCAACCAAAGTAGTCCAGTCGTTTTTTCAGTTCATCCTAGATTTCGAAGTTTGTTTTTTTACACCAGTTGCTCTATTTATAAATAAACACTAATCTACAGGTTACACAATTTTTGTTTCAAAGAAAAATTAACTAGATTATACAGGGAAGTCTTAACATGTTTTTTTTAAATGTATTATATACGTGCAGCTTTTAGATAAAAGGGTATGCCCTCCTGCTGCAAACAGGTTAAATTGGGAAATAAAAGGCTTCTTTTCAAAGAAATGTCCATTCTCCAGAACACAGTGATAAATTCCTAGGTTTACAACAGGAAACATGATTATTCTATTTTATGGCTGTTAGGTTTCTAATAGCAATTGCTTCCCAAAAGGAGAGAGAGAAATTTAATGGAAGCCTATTTCAGTGTGAGAAGAACAGGTCATCCGAGGGTGATGGAGGGCAATTGACTAGAAGGGAAGGTCTGGCAGGCTCCTTTACAGGCACCTTGGGGGTTCATACACAAGAAGCCTCCCTAGATAGTAGTGCAGAACAAGAATGCCTTACAATTGGGTAAATGTTAACAATGGAATCACAAAATGGATGATGTTGACAATCATCCATTGGTGCCACAAATTTGATGCCCAGATAGTGTTATGGATGTAAGCTTATTTGAGCAGGGCCCTCTACATCCTCTTTTCCTATGCATCCAACTCGTCTGGTTTAAAAAAACTTCTGTTAGTCCACCCATTGTATAGCGCTGCGGAATTTGTTGCTTTATAAATAACCATATTAGAGTACCGTTTATTAACTGGGCAGTGGTGTGTGTACATTGACCAAGACTTCTGACCCTGGACGGAGTAGAGTTCTCTATTTTTTTATATTATGGTACACAGAATGAGTGTAACTAAACTACTTTATTTAATGGCACATTATTCTGTTGCCCATATATCCTTTATCTTTGTTTCCTAACCCCACATCACCAGTAAAGAAAGTCTATATCAAATGCAAATGTTTCTTAATAAGTAAGTCAAGAACAGGTGGGCGGTGAATAAAATGTAGTTTTTTTTTTGTTTTGTTTTTTTTTTCTTGGTTTTTTAGAAGTAAACTTTTATCTCATTCTCTGTTTGGATGCCCAATCTACCCTTTGCTCTCCAAAAAGCTAGGGACTCCCCTAAACTGCTTGGAATTTTATGGGTAGCTTAATTTTCTAATTGTATTTGAACTCCCCTCCCCTCTTCTCCTGTAGCGAATAGATGAAAAGATTAGGATAGGTTTATTGTGTGGTTTAGTCTGTGTTTATTTAGCTGCAGATTTAATGGGAACAGACAGTTTAGTAGGCTTCTTGATGAGCCAGCCCTGCAGATGGGTGATTTCTCTCTTTTGTCTGTCCTTGTTTTGCTTGTGAAGGTAGACACAATAAAAACTGTGTTCTGCTTTTCAACCTCAAAACAGATAACAAGGCAGAGAGGAAATTAAAGGGATTTAATGGCATATGGCCTGTTAACCGTTTACAAACCACAGGAACTATCACAAAACATACAGCTACCTTGGTTTGCACTAATCAAATGATTATGTTGTATATTTTACAAAAAAAGGATGTTTTCTATGCTAGGTAAAATGCATAACTGAATACAAGACAGATCAATGGTAGATTGTTCAACCTCTTTGAACATGAAGTCTGGTATTTTGAAGAAGTAAGTTACCAAATGGCTTTTAGAATGACTGTTTAGTAAAAAAAAAAAAAAATAGTGATTCTCTATAGTTAACTCTGAAACACTCTCCAATGGAATCATTTAATGAGGCAAGTAGTACATATTTAACTTTGGGTTCTACTGCATTATTTTAAAATATGTGGAATAAGTTAAAATTATGACCAGCAACCATCAAGTACTTCCACTGGACATGGCTCTCACATGCTCAAGTCTGCCATGTGAGATATATGCCCATGTTTAGTGAAATTAATATTTCCTATTTCCACCTTTGGGGATGACTACATATACGTTTGGTATTATGTCGCCAAAAGACTTATCCCAGTGTTAACAGACGGGAGGGTGGGGGGAGCGCGACGACTTTATTTGTGTCCCAGTAAACTACTCAGTTATTATATTAAGGCTAACATTTTTTAAGGCTAATAAGGGCACTATCCTGATCTTCAAGACTAGGATGAAAATTTTAAAGTATATCTAAAGCATCCATACAATTTTTGACGTAGTCCGCTATTATATAAGAAATGTTCTCACCAAACTTCCAAGCAATAGTGTGTTGTATTTTTCTCTCTCTCACATTAGGGAGTTTAAGACTTCAAACCATTTGCCCCTATGCAGCATGGCTATCCTAGAGTAGTGGCCCAACTTGTCATCCAGGGACATTTTTCATGGCCAAAGCTTTCTTTAGAAATCTAAAGCCTTTGTCATGTTATATCAGTGTTTTTGTAGATAAGCGTCCAGCACATGGAAAGACTTTAAGAAGGAATGCATTAAGCCTCAAACTCCTGCTGTTCCAAGAGAGCTTATGAGAAATATAAAGACTAATACAATGTGTTTACTACTTTTTTTTTTTTTTTAATTAAAATAATTGAGGTGTGGATAAAAGGAATATTGCTGTCTGAATGTCAAACACAATCATGTATTTTACAGCCTCAAACTCTGAGGCATTCCTCACACTGTACACCCCAGTCCCACACACACGCTCACACTAAATTCTTAACATGTAGCACCCCTACAGTATGGATCTATAATATGCATTTTATTCCACATGCAGTAAACATCTCAAGTGATATTGCAGGTTGCATACACTAGTAAATATGCCATTTGCGCTTCATAAAAGGTTCTATATTTCCACTCATTATTATTTTTTGGGGGTAGGGGGTTGCAACAGAGGCTATTCCAGGACCACTTAGCCCAGTGATTGTTGTAAAGGGACTTTAGGGTTGACATTGTCAATTGGCATAATGAGATTTGGCACAATAATTCAACTTAATTAAATATTGATATATTTCAATGCTTAATTGAAGGTTGCATTAACAATATAACCTCAAAAACGAGCATATACAAGGTTGTGTTGTGGTAAATTATTAGTTCAAATAGCTAAAGGGAAGACATTGCCAGCAATACTGCACTTTAACTGCAAAGGGTTAAATTCAATGTTCTGCAAGCATTTTAGCGTTCTGCATCCTGTCCTTGCCCCAGTATGCACTCTGTTTAGTCTGTCTGGGGTTTCGCCCCACCTGCACCCATCACTGTGAGTGGATGCCCTCTTCCTTGCTCTAGGCTACACTACAGCAGCTCTTTGAAGACTGATTTTGCTGATGGCATGTTCTCTGCACATCTTCAACTGACCCCTCTCTGCTATTTCTTAAAATCTGATATTGCTATTCAAGCACAACGTGTATCCCACTTGTCACCTGACAGAAATGTCAGGACTCTGTATCTCAGATGCACATTTCCTGTCATCTGTCTGCGGGTAGGAATAAAAGTGGTAGCATTGTTTTGACTTGTATAAAATCAAAAGCCATGAAGTCTAAATTTTTATTTTATATTTTTGATTTCTAAGTAAACCTGCCTGCTAATGTTCTAAAATGCCATGGCAGTATTATGCAGGCTTGGAATGAATACCATAATAAATACGTGTGTTAAGGTGATACATTGACAGATAAAAAACAATTGGAATGCTTCTCAATGAAATTTAAAGGGACACTCAAAACACCAAAAGCTAAGCATAATCTAACAGGTTTAGTGACTAAAGTGAGAATTTGAAGTGAATTTTCAGTTTAACCCTTTAAGGACCAAACTTCTGGAATAAAAGGTGTCACATGTCATGTGTACTTAAGGGGTTAAGGCCAAAATAGCCAAATTGAAGCTTAGCTAAATTTTTCCATTGCTGCTTTTATGACCTTAGATTTGAAATACACTTTTAATTCACTTTGAATTCTCACATTAGTGGATTGCTGTGTGAGCCTTCCCTCTCAGTTGCTGACATGTTACTGAGGAATGACTCATCCTTGTTATCTACCCATATATATTACAGGATGTGAGCATGGTTCTTTTGATCAAAATATGCAATGTTGGGCTGTAGTAGGATTCTGCTGGCCAAATTACTGCAGCCCTTCTGTGCTGGTGAAAAAGGGTCAACAATCATTTAGAGGAGCAGAAAGAACTGCTTATAGGACAAGCTCAGGAAGTAAGTTATATGTATTAAACACTGAAACTTCTTCTGTCTGGGGTGTCCCTTTACATTAATCCCAAAATAAAAATTTGCACTCATTTTACATGATGTAAAATCCTTTTGAAATCCATAGAAAGGGAACAGTTTAGGAAAAACGACCTCTTCTAATAAATTTTTTTACATTGCCTGAAGTGAATTTCAGCTCTGAAATTGTAATAATAAAAATGCATACTTATTGGGCATTGTTAATTATTGTATGGGAACGATAACCCACTTCAAATGCTATGTTTTGGCCTTACAAACTTCAATCACTTCATTAATTAACTAATCATACACTGGCACTATGTTTGTGTTGTACAAAAAGATCACCACCTGGCTCAGAACATGGATTAAAATGACAGATTTTATACAATGTGTGCTTACATGGTATGGTGGCTGATATCAACTGTGGTCCACCAGTAAGTCCATCTTCCAAAGAAGATCTCCCAAACTTAATTTCATGTTTTTGGCACCTGAGAAGAAAAATGTGTTGTGCCATACACTTTCACCATGAGACCAAACAACTAGAGTCATCACATTCTCCAGTGCGAGGCAGGTTTAGGTAATCTGCCCTACACAGGGGGGTATACCCTTTGATGTATCAATGTTATTTTATACCGTTTCAATTCATGAGGCTGATATTGGCTTTTTTAAATAGTTCATAAATAGTCATTATCCCAGGATAACATTCTAAACCAATAATTAGAAGCATCTTAAGTTTGTTACCAGAATGTAAGCATTATTTAATGTTCTAACCCCCTTTTCACCACAAATAACCACATTATTTTACTTGGTGTGCAGAGCGTTATTAAAGGTTATTTGCCTTTCAAACTTTTTTCCATTCCCATACCGTTTATCCTTTGCCTTGCTTCTATGCTTGATCTTCATTGACTTTTTCCTAAAAGCGGTGACCATCATTCTATTTCATTAAATCCGATCATACAGTATTAACATACATTGGTCTCCTGCTAAGATATGTTCTCTACTAACTTGGGAGCTAAATAGGCAGTTTTTTGAATTGTGTTGTGTTTGATGATTTGGTTCTATTACATTAAAGTCTGTAACAGCTTTCAAGTAGAGTTCCTTGTGGGTGGCGGAGTATGATTCACTTTAATGAACAAATCCTGTGTTTATTTATGAGTGTGTTGATATATAAAGCTATTTGGCACCCCTGGCATCTGCAGACTACATTTTCCATGAGGCATCCTGGGAAATGCAGTTCAAAGCCATCATAAGCTATATTGCAACCATAGCAATGTCCAGATTAATTTCCATAACAGAAAAGCTATCTCCTTGAACGTTAAACCAACTTATTAGCTGGTATTGGCTAGGGGGCTCTCAAATGGTGAAGGCTTGTGTTTTATCCATTGCAACTATTACTGAATTGTAAGTTTAACTTCTATATAATATTATTTATTATACATTTTTTGAACAGATTTATATTCTCTGCAGATTTATTTTATTTAATCTAGGTCAGAACTGCTTTATGACAGTACCCAGTGAGAGAGGTCAATTTTGGCACCCATCCTGTTTCCCTTTGCTTTTGTTTTGTGTGACTGTTCTGTAACCTCCTGTGAGTGTCAGACAGCCTTTCAGCAGGGAGGCAGAGAAGGGGGTGTATCATTTTAGAATTTGTATGGGTTGCGAAGTCTGTGCCTGCCTTTAGTTAATCAGTCCTTATCCCAACTTGAAGTGTTATATGCAATTCAATTTTGGAAGCCCTTCAGCATGAAAAGTAACTCTTTCATTGCCAGCCTAACCAAAGTAAATGCATACAAACTGAAGCCTTACTGCAGCAGGCCCCTTCACATGTGGTTAACAGAGATTGAAAGGCAACTCACCTTGCAGTAGAAATCGGTAATATAGTAAGGGAATTACAAAATGCTTGTCTTGTATTATTAGGTTGGAGGTTTACAACAGCTAGCATAAGGCAAGATTTCTAGGTTAAATGTTCGCTGTCCTGTGACCTGCAAGGAACCTTCCGTTTCTAAGCTACAAATAATCTTGTGCCCTGGCCAAGAATGTAGCGCCACTACAAAGAGTCATGCTCACTCATGCACACCGCAGAAAACCCCTACATTGTTTTACAGAGGGGTTTCAGTGTCCATATTTTCTTTGTTAATGTAATAAAGAAAATTATAGACTAGGATTGTTTTTTTTATTTTTTATTTTTATTGCCCTAGATTTCTGTGAACTATATTTTACATAATTCCCATCCAATCATGGCTGGCTGGTTATGATGGCTAATGAAGTTCACAAACATCTGGATTGCCAAAGGTTATCCATTACTGTCATTGAGCATCCTTGTGAGTAAAGTATTCCCATCAGCCCTGGACTTGGTATGAGTAATCTATTCTCTGCTTGCCTTGCTATTCACCAAAAAAATAAATCCCTAGGGTGGATTAAATGGCTATTATAGCCAACCTGAGAATTATAATATGTATCTTTGTATAACTTGAGCTGCCAGTTCCATTATTTGTTTGTTTTTGTTTTCTTTTGTCCTCCTGAAAAGGTCATTGTTTCATTGTCTATATAATTGCAAGCTCTTTCTGGTACAAAAAAAATAATAAATTAGAAAATCTGCAGGTTGGCAAACCGTTTCTACTAAAAGAATAGAACCAGAATCCAAAAATCTTTCCCTCAAGTTCCTTATTGGCATGCCCTGGGCAAATAATATTTTTGCTTGTTCTGTTGCATGCTAATGTAGTACCCTGGTGTGTGATAAATATATCTCTGTATGTCACTAGCACTTACATTACTGTAGCTTCCATGAAACTTTAGGGGATATATATTAAGAGTAATTATTGGGGAAAATTGGAGTAATCACCTTGGAAACTGACATAATGTTAATGCTGATTGTTTCAGTTTTACAGTTTTCTCCAGAATTTATATTTATTTTTGCATTCAACCCTCAAGGTGTCTATGTAACACCACATTAATCTAGAATATACCTATATAATCTGTTTCATAGGGACCAAGATTTAAATAAATGCAAGGATTGGGGGCCAATTTGAGCATCTCTGTCAACACATGCCTTTTAACGTTCTAATGCAGGAATTATTTTCTGTAAAATTATTCTCCTAAATCTGAAGCTTTTATTCAAATTAGACGCAGGGCCTCTTGTTTGGCATCAGTAAGAGCCCAGTATTTGTAGAAGATATTCTATTCAGTGGAAGTGTCCCAGCTTCTCTAAAACATTCCCAGCAGGCTCTTGTCAGATATAGGTCATTAACTTTCTTTCATTGAGAGTTTGTTTACATGGCTGCCATAAATAGTATGTGTTTTGCACTCTCCAGAAATTCATACATACATCCCCCTGGCTTGTTCCTTGAGACTGCATTACCCTTTTTGCAATACCACAAAGAGCCCAGATTTACAATATATATATTTTTTTTTTGGGGGGGAGTGTGGGGGGAGGTTGGTCTAAAATAAATGATGGCTTTTAAAATTTAGTCATGTCCGTTTATAGGCCCTTGAGTCAAAGGAGCATCAGAAGGAAGTATCTTTTATAAGGCTGTAATCTTTTATAGAATGTTTACATTTTGTATGGTGTTTGTTTAGCAGATAATTTGTTTCAGTGTGACAGAAGCACAATTGCTAGCAGATTTCACAGCCAGAAAATGCTATCTACACAGTCCCACTGCATCAAATTACATTGATGGTCATGATTCATAGAACATCATGTGTCCTAAATAATTTCTTCAAAGTGGCAAATTGTCCGTGTTTTTTTTTTTTTTTTCCTGTGTTCTTCAAACTGTATTAATAGATATACCGTAATAACTATGTGTTTATGCTGTCTATGGATTGTATCCCTTATCAAATTATATTAGTCAGCATTCCCTTATAAAGGGATCTTTACCTCTGTATTGTGACTTCCCATTGCTGTTTGTCATCAGAAGTCTTGTTCTGAGATTTATCTAAGTATAAACAATGTGGAAGCTGCCAAATAACTGATTTTATAACCCACATCCCCAGCAGTGAGAGTGGTGCTTTATGCAGATTGTGTTATATCTCGCTCAGGAAGTAAGTTATATGTATTAAACACTGAAACTTCTACTGTCTGGGGTGTCCCTTTACATTAATCCCAAAATAAAAATTTGCACTCATTTTACATGATGTAAAATCCTTTTGAAATCCATAGAAAGGGAACAGTTTAGGAAAAACGACCTCTTCTAATACATTTTTTTACATTGCCTGAAGTGAATTTCAGCTCTGAAATTGTAATAATAAAAATGCATACTTATTGGGCATTGTTAATTATTGTATGGGAACGATAACCCACTTCAAATGCTATGTTTTGGCCTTACAAACTTCAATCACTTCATTAATTAACTAATCATAAAAAAAGTGAACATTTTAGAGTTTACTCCGTATACACCGCATTGTGGTGAATAGGAAACTGAAGTTTACTTTTTGGTAAAATAGGTTTTGAAAGCTTTTTGAGTGCAGATTACTTATGGACAATATATTTTGTATTATGGAATGCTTGATATTTGGATACACATTTGCAACAATTGAAAACGGCACCTCCATGTGACACTCACTGAACACCTTTTGAGAATAATTTGGGACTTTAGGGCACATCTCTCTGGCTGACATGCAGTGAGTCACCTTCTAGCCACTGTTATCTGCCATGTGATGGCTTTAGAATGGCACCCTCCCTGCAATGTGGACTTAGGTTAAGCAGGTTGGAAAGCGGATTTTGATTTTGTTATCTTTACTGGTGCAGGTCAGTTTCCAGTGTCCCATAATGGTGTTTTAAAAAACTAAAGTCTCGAGGTTCGTAAAACCATTTTTATTAACAGATCATGTACCTCTTCTAAAATGGTAAGCTCTAAAACTGCCTTGTTTCAGGTTATTTGTATATTTTGTTTGTGGAATTTTTGCCAAATTAATCAAAATGTAATATTTTAATTTATGTCCATTTTCCATATAGGATACTATGAGACATTTTTAAGAGAAATGCCATTTTGTCTCTGGCTTTTACCCTTCGGTGTTGTTGGCACTTTAGGCAGTCTAACCGGCTTCCGTGCCATAGCTTTAGAGAGAGTGTTGTCCCGGCAAGAGTTGTAGCAAGGCACTGTGCTCATTCTCACACTGCTTATGCATAAGTATGGTGAACAGGCCTTACTCATTGGATTAATATAGTGAACCCATAAACTCAGAGGATGTTGTCCATAAGAGCTCTGGCAATAAATTGCTGCTCAGGACTCTAAATTCTTGGGCAATAAAACAAATCATGGTTTAAGTGATTCCTGAAAAAAACAAATATTCCTTTATTGCCACATTAAATCTTTGAACTATTGACACAAACTCTTTAACCACTACCCCACTCCCTATGATGCATAATTCTGAGGACTCATCAGTACTGAATATTGGAATACTTGCAAAGAATGCTAACGGGTACCTTTTATTCATAATAAAGAATATCTGAATCTTTAATACCTTGTTCAAACACTAAACTAAGTTTAGACAATGATCTCGTAATATACTTTTTTGAGAGTTTTATTTAATATGACTCGTGATCTGTGTCTATGGAATATTATCATTCTGTTTCTATAAGTTTGGATTAAAACTTACTTGCTCTACTTATTCCAGGTCTGACATATTTCCTTTTAAAGGGATTCTATAGTGTAAGGAATACAAACTTGTATTCTTACACTATAGTTCCCTCTGCCCCATCCTGGCACAGAAAGGATTAAAAACTCTCTGAACACTTACCCGATTTCAGCGCCCATCTACCTTGGCATGCAGAGCATGAGGACATCCAGTGTCAGGTGACCAAACGTCGCTAAACCACCAGGAAGTGCATTTAGTGGCTGGCTGAAAGCCGCTAGAGGCAGACTTTGCATTTCCTCAACTGCAATGATTTACATTGCAGGTCTAAGGGGGACTGGTACACTGCACCCATACCACTTCAATGAGATGTGGTCCATGTGCCTGTAGTGTCCCTTTTAAGCAACCTGTTAATGTTCAGATACAGGATTTATTTTTATTCTCTTTCATGATAATTTTTTTTATTTTTAAAGCCATACAATTACTCCATTCATAGTCCCAAAATGTATAAACTATGATATAAATGTTGCAGAAAAAATACATCTAATCTTTACTGCAGATGGTGCATGGATCCTTATATATTTTTGAAACTGCCACGCAAAGGGAACATCAGTAATCTGCAATTTATCCTAATTCATGCATTTTATGCAAAATATGATTTTACTTGCTTGTTTTGCAGGGATATTCCTGGCTGATGACAATGAAAATCAAAAATTGCTTGCTTCCTGGTATAGGAGAGGTTAAACTGCAGTCTCTTGTGTCCTATCTTGTAGATAAGCAGATGGCTCCTGTCTGCTGTCTCTGTATTAAAGCCAATCCATTGCATTGATTTACTTTCATTGCATTGTGCAAACCTAAATTGGGGATAGCAGAGAGGCCACCATGAAGATGGGTTTATAGTTCCAACAAATGCCCTGGAACATCAATAATGTCTAGAAATAACCACATGTTCTTCAAGATGTTAACAAAACCTACACAATGTTAGTGCTGCTATACAGAAGGATGTTGTTTGTAGAAGATATTTATAATGTAATTCTTGGCTTCCAGAGGCAGATTTTGTGCTCATCTGTTAAAATGATAAAAGGACAGGACATAGGCCAGTATAGATAACCTACAGGCTGTAGGTTCATTTTTAAAAAAGTCAGAAAATTGTTTGTGTACGTTTGCATGTGTATGTGTATACCTCTCAATACTCTTTCAACCTCTAACTTAAACACATATTATAGAATTAATAATTATCTCACAGAAATCTTGCAGTCACTTGGCTGGGAGAGCTGTATAAAACTGTTAGTCTGACCGTGTGTATATCTTAACACCTCTATCCTTTGTGCATAAATGTGATCATTTTGCCCTCAAATATTTTTTTCCTGTAATTATGTAATATTGCCTGCGTGTTCTGATTTAAATTTAAAGAGTAGCCTGTTTTTTTAAATTTTTGTAAAACTGCATTCAGATGGAGTGCAATAACCGTTTTAATTGTGGTACTTAATGCCATGTCTTTGCATACTTGAAAAGCAGAACAATCTAAACTCCGATATTGACCTAACTTTTTAAAACCACTTTTCAGTTCACCTTTATTCAATGTGTCATCAGTGTTGGCATGTAGTAAGTTTTATTTCTTGAGAGTTTAAAGGGACTTTCTAGTCTTTTTTTTTTCATGTGGATAATGCATTAATATTTCAAAACCATTACCAGTACCTATGACAAAAAAGCATGTTTGCATAGAACTTTGTCACATGTGACCAAAACTCGAGATGAGAGGTTCATCTAATTCGTTTTACCGAATCTTTATCAGCAGGCGAATTTCTGACTAGCTGAACTGCCACGTGTACAAAATTCTGTGTTTAGAAAAAAAAATTCAGACAGTTTCTAGTGCTTGAAATGTCCTTTTTATATTTATATTTACCACTATATCAATATATTAGACTTGGGGACAAACCTTGTTTTTTCATTCTTGGTAAGTATTTTATTATAAATCTTTGATAAATTCAGCAACACCTTTGGAAAGCATCATGGGTGTTATAGTTTGTTGTTTGTGGGGGGGGGGGGGGGGGTTGTTTGTTTTTTAACCGCTAGGGATCTCCCTTTTCTCTAAACTTTGAGTAAAGCAATTGTTTATGTTTTTGTTAAAGGAAGGATCTCCCTTTTCTCTAAACTTTGAGTAAAACAATTGTTTGTTTTTGTTAAAGGAACACTATAGTCACCTAAATAAAGCAGTTTTAGTGTATAGATCATTCCCCTGCAATATCACTGCTCAATTCACGGTCATTTAGGAGTTAAATCACTTTTTCTGTTTATGCAGCCCTAGCCACACCTCCCCTGGATTTGATTGATAGAGCCTGCATGAAAAAAAACAACTGGCTTTACTTTCAAACAGATGTAATTTACCTTAAATAATTTTATCTCAATCTCTAAACTGAACTTTAATCACATACAGGAGGCTCTTGCAGGGTCTAGCAAGCTATTAACATAGCAGGGGATAAGAAAATCTTAATTAAACAGAACTTGCAATAAAGAAAGCCTAAATAGGGCTCTCTTTACAGGAAGTGTTTATGGAAGGCTGTGCAAGTCACATGCAGGGAGGTGTGACTAAGGTTCATAAACAAAGGGATTTGACTCCTAAATGGCAGAGGATTGAGCAGTGAGGCTGCAGGGGCATGTTCTATACACCAAAACTGCTTCATTAAGCTAAAGTTGTCCAGGTGACTATAGTGTCCCTTTAAGCTCCTTTTGATCCTTTTCCTTTTTTTTTTTTTTTCTCTTCCTCATGAACTGCCATGCAAAAAAATTCAGACTATTATTTGCATGGTGTTCTTTCACTTGTTTGTTATATGGCAAATTCCTGTAGATTTTAACACCAGAAGCAAATATGCTGATTTAAATATTTTTTCGCAAATATGATTCCATAGGGTATGTAAGTGTGATTGCATTGTGCTTGGCTCTGTGTGTGTGTGTCTTGAAAGATTACAGGACTGCTCAATATATTGTATTCATCCTGTAATCTTGCAGAAGAACACCAGCACTTGGGAAGAAACGGTCCGGATATTTCTAGACAGACTCTGTACTAGATATAGAAAAAATATAAATATCAAAAGCCGCACGCTTGACAGGTGACCTGGACCTCCTGGGATAATCACATATTCTGAGGACAGAGGAAAATGTTATTTATGTTTTATTCTTGTATTATCTGTTTTTCTTTTCCCAAGCCAAGCCGGATACAGCTGTTTTTATTAAAAGACTTTTGATTTTGGGGGATTTTTTTTTTTTTAAAATCCTGCACCTGATATAGGGTGCTTATTTCAGTGGCCAGATTCTATGGTTTTCAACTTTGTTACCATGGTCTCTATACAGACCCTGTTGGACACTGTTTGACGTTTATAATTAATGAGTTGGTAAGACTTTGATGGCGATATTTTGTAATATTTGTTAAATTTTTTAGTTTGTTTTGTTTTTATAGATACACAATATGAGACTTATATGCTGGGATAATATGTTTTTTCTGAAGGATTTTTAGAATTCCATGTCCCTGGTTTATTGACTCAATTTGCCTCCTGGGGTGAAGCTTCCTCCAAGTCTCCACCAGATGCTAACTCCACGACTATAGTATGCAAAGTATACGCCTACAGTGTGTACGGATAGTCTATTGCCATTTAGTAGTGTTATCTGTAATTCAACAGACAACATACTTTTTTTTTTTTTTTTTCACCAGATTTAAACTTAGTGGTGCAAATAGTTTTTTCCAATTCCCTGTGCTAGTAAATAATTAAAATATTTGATATAAAAAAAAAAGACATGCAAAATTCCTGTAAATTTTCTAGATATTGTGAAGGAAAATAATGAAGAGCATGTCTGAATCAGCTTACTGATAGTAGATATCGATAATGTCTAGGATATGGATTTCTCTTTATTTAAAGAATTTGTCTTGGGAACCATACTGTTGCGAAGCTGGTACCTTGTGATTTGTAGTCTTGCTGCTATACTATTTAGCCAACATAATGACTATATCTGGATGCATGTGATACTAGGTTGTTGCAGTTGTCACTTGAGCTTAGTTAATGCTGCTTGTTTATACCTGTCCTATATTTTGAGCTTTTATATTGTTCTTTTCCTGTGGTGTTGGTTTTTTTATTTTTTATTTTTTTATTTGTTTTATTTGTGCCAGTTAAGACTGCGTCCAGTACTCTGTACAGCATGACTATTATGCTTTATGACCTAGTGGGCCATGCCTGCTATATATCTGTGGGTATGCAGTATTGCAGCCCCCCCAGACTAAGTCATAACAATTGTTTACATTCATAAGTTTGGATTTCAACTGTCTTGGTAACTAGTTTACTTGGCGAATACATTTTAATGAACTTACTTATAGGGGATTTAATGGTACTCGTGTCTAAATTTATATTTCACAAATCCTTCATGTTGTGGTCCTTTAACTCAATGAAACCTAATTATATTGCATATTGTATTTTTTGTTATGAAGTGTTTATTGTACTGTAACTATGAACAAATCCTATATATCAACATGGACTCTGCAATACCTCTCCAGTCTGTCATTTGCATACTGAGCCAGATGAATTGCATCAAGGGAGGGACTGATGATCAGGAAAAACAAAAACAACATTTTGCTCTGCTTGCAATCCATAAATGTTTAGTAACATAATATGTAGATACAGTACCTTTATAAAAAGTAAAAACTTGCCAAATAAAAAAATTCCATTCCTCCTCAATCTGTAACAAGGCATATCACGTTCAAATAAAGCCAACACACTAATGCAAATACCATAACATGGATGTAAACTTATAAATAATATAGAAGAATTTACATATATTGATTAAACAGCTGACAGCATTTTCTGACAGTATTTAATGTGGCGTGAATATGTAATGAATTGTTGGCCACATTTGAACAGTATGTTTAGAATGGTATGTTTGCCAGGGGGATTGCGACCCCCGTTGGCACATCTAGTTAAAATTATATTGTTACATACGCTACAGACACAGAAATTTTTACCTCATCTCCTTTTCTAACCCACCAGGATCAAAGCAAATGCAAGATAGTGCATTGTTTGAAGGTGTGTGTGTGTGTATGCTTTACGTATGTACATACGTAAATACTTAAAATTAATTATACATAGAGTGAAGATTGTTTTTACCATAATCCTTGACCGTAATGTTTGTGATTAATATAGAATCAGCTAATGAGGTTTGATGGAATAGGAAATTTTCCTGTGAAAGTAAGATGTGTTAATGCACTCTGCTGGTGTCACAAGAGCAAAGGAGCAAATTGCTTTTTAGATTAACATTTAATTAATAATGAGATCTGCTAAGAGGCGTGCGAGTTTTGTGTGTGTAAATGGGTAAAAAAAATTATGTTAAAACTTTTTATCATAGTGCTTTACATTCATGATTGTTTACGTCATGGAGTCCACAATAAGTAGAGATTCCTCCAGCTTGTTCTAAAAATAAAATAAAATAAATCATTCTAATGTATTTGCACGCTAGCTCTATGAATAAGCTGCATTCATCCATTTTGCCCCATGTATGGACTGCATCCATCCATTTTTCCCCATGTGCGGACTGCATCCATCCATTTTTCCCCATGTGCGGACTGTATCCATCCATTTTGCCCTGTGTGCATCCGTTCAGGCCCGGTGCAAACGAAGCCTACAAGCAATCTGCCATATGGACATACTGTATTGAGTCAAATTTATATATTTCTCAAAGGTTTGAAAAAATCTGTTCAGTATACTTGCTATGTGTTTGCAGAGTCCAAAAAATTCTTAAAACTTAGGAGGGAAGAGAGAGATTTTAAACTTCCCCAATCTGTCCTTCCCGACCTGGCACTCAGCCCTTTTTATTCTCTGTGGGCAGCCGAGACGTTATGATTATATTTCACATAAGTAAGTCTTATTGAATAAATAATACCCTTATGTATTTTTAATTGAGCCTGGGCAAGTGGATAGAGTCAAAGGAATTAAAAGGTTGCACTGAAGCTTAAGGTGAACCGCACACTTTGTTTAAACCAAGGACGATTTGTCCTGTAAATGATCACAGGAATGTTGAGCTTTAAAACTTAGTGGTTGTAACTTTGTATAGATCATCTAGCGATAATTATAAAAATAGGCTAAATAGTGAAAAATAAGGACTAAACAAAATTAACAAAACTAAATAAATACTAAAACTGCCATGTAACACTGTAGTTAAAACAAAAACATTTTTGGTGCATAGATCAAGTCTCGCTGCTGAATTGTGTCATTTAAAAGTTAAATCTTTTTGTTTGTGTCTATGCAGCCCTAGTCACACATGTCCTGACTGTGACTGACACAACCTGCATGGGGAAAAAACAAAACAAATCAATAAAATGTTAACTTACTTTAGAAGTTTTTATCTGCTGCTCTATAAATGGACTTTAATCACACACACTTGTAATGTCTAGCAAGCTATTAGCAGTACAGGAGATAAGAAATTCTAAATTAAACAGAATTTGCAATAAAGGAAGTGTAAACATTAGATGACTTGTTATAGGAAGTGTTTCGGAAGACCGTGCACATTACATGAAGGGATGACTGGTATAAACAAAGTAATTTAACTCCTAAATGGCAGGGAATTGAGCAGTGAAACTGCAGGGGCATGATCTATAGATTAAAACTGCTTCATTAAAGTTGTCTTGGTGACTATAGTGTCTCTTTGAGTTTGGAAATAGCTACAACCCATTAGATAAAACAAATCAGACATCAGTGCTGTTGATCTAAAAAAAAATGAAACACAAGTAAATTAAGTGACATGACAAAATCTGTTTACTCTGGATCTGTTTTAATTAATATCGCTTTTCACTTGAAATGCCTGTTAAAAGAGTAGTAATGGTATTAAAAATAATGTACAACAAGAAAAATGCCTGAGCTAAGCAATTGTTTTTAAATATGCAGAATATAATATCAACTGCTTTAAAAGTGGGAACAAATTGAGCACGCTATTCATTAAACAATGTGTAGTGAACAAAAATCTTTCCAAGTTCAGAATAAAATGGCAGTTGAAAATAAAACGTAGATTATATTTTCGCTTATTTTGCAAATAAACGTGACTTGCAGTTTGAAGAATGTAGAAGTCACTGTGCTATCTCAGAAAGGCAAAAAAAAGTAAACAATGAAAATAAGAAAGGCAAGGTTTGGGCAGAAGTTATCCTTTTACTGAACCATGTTTATGGGATGGCAAAATAAACACGTTCCTTGCAGATTATTTGCAAGAAAACAAATTTGTAGGGAAATTGGCTGTTTATGTTGATGCACAAATACTCATAATCTGATTCCTCGCACAGTGAATTTGCCATTCATTAGCATTAAGTAATGCACAACTACATAAATGTAGAGCGAGACAATTCCAAATCCATTACCCATTATGCTGTTGAAGGATTTACTGTTTTCTAATTTCCAAATTCTGAATGTCCTACTGCATCACCTGCACCCACTTCATCTCAATGTGTGTGGTATCCCTAATCTCTCCTGGTAGTCTGAGTATCTTGTACATAGATATTAAACACCAGCTGTCATGGAAATTTTGTCCAACCATCACAGTTGATTGGAACTGATTATGCCTCATCACTTTTGCAATTCAGGACAAATGTTCATCCGTTCTGAATTTTTATTTATTCCTTTTAAAACCATATAAAATCAATGACCACTCCTAAAATAAAAAATATTTATTGTTTTGGAGCACACCACAATGGGCTTCTTGGCGACCGAACTCAGGACTAAAAAACAGAAAAAAAGAATGTACGATAAAGGCAATAATTACATCTCAATCCTTTTTGTGGGCTCACATTATTGTAATGTAAGCACCTTTTAAGTAATGTATGCAATTTTTATTATTTTTCTGCTTTGCCTTTTTTTTTTTTATGTTTGTCCAGTTTATATTTTAATGTGGGAGGACTCTGATTTCTGTACACTTTAAACAGTGATTTGGAAGGATCATTCCTTTTTATTTTGGTGCATAACGTGAGCCATTGAAGAAGCTCTTAAAGTTGTGAGTAGCTACAGTGAAAATGTAATCTATATCTATGGTATAATCTATACTATAAGACAATATTTTACAGTCCGTGATTAATTTAGAAAATTCAAATTCTTGTGGAAATACCTGCAGTGCTTATAAAAGTATTTCAATTTAGCCTGTACGAGCATAGCACACACGGTTACCAATTTTAATGTGCAAGACTGAAAATAAACCAAAAACCCCCTTCCAGGAACACCCATGATCTGAGTTTTGATAGACTCAGAGGAGCAATTATCCTTGGACCATACCATCCAAGTTGGAGGACAATATTATTAAGGTCAGTCAGTACTGGCGAGCTGCTTCTCTCAGATTTATATCTATATTTGTGACTGATCTCCCATTATCACTGATTCATTATGGGTATTATTATCATATTACAAGGACAAACAGAGCTCAAGTTAAAAATGCCCTTTGAAGTACAATCATTTCCATCTCTGTTCTTGTGTTCAATGAACCTCAGTCACCCCTTTCTCCTTCTTCTGACCAGCATTTCAAATAACACTTTTTACAACAGTTGCAACAGCTTTGGTAGATATGTTCTCAGAGTGTAAATATGTCATAGTGTCTGGCTTACAGTCTGCCAGAAAACTACTCTGCTTCAACTTTCACTCAATTTTGTAACATTAAATAGTCTAATTCCCATTTCCTGGGATCCTGCAATACTTGCAGTTATTTAAAAAAAAAAAAAATATGTATTGTTTGTTTGAAGATTTTTTATTTTATTACTTTTTTACTTATATTTTTACCAACGTAAAATAATCACAATATAATATAACTTTTTGGAATCTGAATTGAGATGTGCTGAGTGAGACCTTGTAGAACTTCCCACACACGCGCACACACACGCACACACTACTTGTAATAGTATTGTTAAAATATAAACCTAACTCCTGTTGTGTATGTCTATCTGTACTATCTCAAGAGGCTCCTGGATGAGTTATACTTGAATTTACCTATTTGTTATGTTGTTTGGATCTTTACAGAACTTACAGGCAACTTATTTATTTATAAAATATTTTCCAAGAATTTACTGTTTTCAAGTATTTGCCCTAATACAGTTTTGTGTGATACAGAATATTCAGTTATAATAGTTAAAATGTGGAGTAACAATTTGTTAATCCGAGGAGAGATTTTGGAGTCAAGACGGATTTTTTTTTTCTCCCATTTTTCAGCAAAATTGGGCATTGCAACAAATTGGATCCACAACAGAAACTGTTGTGTGTGAGGTTGAACTTAATGAACTTTTCTTTTTTTTGCCAGCTATATTAACATGGAACTGTGTAGTTATATAGCATTTTTTTTTTTTTTTTTAAATCATGAAAATGTCAGAGTGCATATACCCCCACACAGTGTCACATTAGAAGATGTTTGGTACATGCCAGTGTACTAACATACATACTCTCATGCCAGGGACCATTCAAAAGACTCAGACCAGAGCCCACCCAATCCAGTGCCTCTCACACTCACAAATTCTTATTTTTTATTTTAATTTAAATCCAACAAGCCTAACTAGCTTTAAAAGAGCAGGAATTGATCCTTACCCTGGGGTCCAGTGGGGCTGCTCCCTCGAGCGCTGTTTAGTGATGCTGGACTGGAGTGATGTCATATTCCTGCTCTCAGCATCACTGCAGGGCGTGCATGGGAGCAAAGCAAGAATATTTCATCTCCCCGAGCCTGCCTCCTTCATTCTTCCTCACCTGCCCTCCTCGGAGGGGCAGAATTCCTAGTCGCCATGGTTTGTCAAGCCCTGATATGACTAAAGATCATCTGGAATGAGGATCTCATCAAGGTATGAGTGGCTGTCCAGTGCTGTATTACCAGCTTTCTTATGAAGGAGAGGTTGATCATGTACTGTAAGGAACACTAACACTAACAATACATATATCTAATGTTTGTGCTCTTTAAAGGACCATTATAGGCACCCAGACCACTTCAGTTCAAAGAAGGGGTCTGGGTGCCAGGTCCATCTAGGGTTAACCCTGCAGCTGTAAACATAGCAGTTTCAGAGAACTGCTATGTTTACATTAGGGTTAATTCAGCCTCCAGTGGCTGTCTCATTGACAGCCACTAGAGGCGCTTCCGCGCTTCTCACTGTGAAAATCACAGTGAGAAGACTCTGACGTCCATAGGAAAGCATTGAGTAATGCTTTCCTGTGGACTGATTGAATGCGCGCATTCGGCGCTGACGTTGGCAGAGGGAGGAGAGTTCCCAGAGGGAGCCCGGCACTGGAGAAAGGTAAGAGTTTTTAACCCCTTCAGCCCGACGAGAGTGGAACCCTGAGTATGGGGGGGACCTAAAGTCCCTATAGTGCCAGGAAAATGAGTTTGTTTTCCTGGCACTATAGTGGTCCTTTAATATAAAATACATGCATATATATGCCAAAACACATTAATACTCCCCACAGTGTAAATAGAAAAATTACTGTTGTGCATCACCTGCATATTTCAAGTTTGACTTTGGAAAGTCCCCCTTGGGCACAAATGGGTACAGAAGCTTCAAGAAATTGTTTTCATGGCTATTCCCAGTTAGACATGCAAATATATATATATTTATACTCTGTATAAATATATTTCACATACAACCTGCAGCTCAACTACTCATAGAGTATGTTTCTTATATTTAGTTTTTTAGGATGTTTGGTACCAATTCTTCAGACTATGCATTACATATCAAGTTTAGGGAAATATATTAACCTCCGTTATTTATGAACACTAATCCGTAATTCTGTTTGTTGTAACAAAAATGTAGGCGGAGTCCTAGTCTAGTGTTTCCTTATTTGCATACGCAGCACAGAGGCTGCTGGGGAATCTTGTTCAGCATTAAAACATGAAAGACATTCAACTGCCCGCACAAACAAACAAAACTAAAAAAAACACTTCTCTGAATCCTTTGCAAGCCCTCCCCTACTAGCCCCGCCCAGATTTTCTGTGGCTGTCCAATCACAGACTTCCCAATAAAGCTCAATGAGAAGTCTTTTTACAAGTCATGCTATGTGGGCAATTGGCTGCCTCTTGAGTGTGGCTGCACTAAGCTAGACAACTAGGACGTAACATTACCAGTTCTCTTACAGCCAGAAGGGTGTAACCAGTATAATTCATAATAGTATCAATTTGTATTGAACACTTTTTATAAAATGAAAAAATACACACTTTTAACACATAAAGCATTTCAGCAACTTGAAGTATTAGAGGGGTCTGGAATTTTCCTTTCAAAACACTTTTTTTAAACACAGAATGAAAGGGCTGCACCAGGGTTCTCCAGACACTGCTTTCACTTTAATTAGATAAGGCAGTTACAGTGCCTACACTGACTCTGTTTTCCAATCTTACAAACATTACGTTTTTCTCACTGTACATTGAACAAGTACATGTAAATTGCATTGTTTACAGACAGCACAAATAACATTGCTTAAGGTAATCCGGGAGATAAATGAAATGGAGAAGAATCGTCATGCTCAAATAAGTCAAAAAACTCTCATCCATGTATTTAAAACTAATCAATGCTTAAAATATTGTTTTTATTTGCTTGTTTGTAATTAACCTAACCATTAGAGCAGCATCTTTAAACATGATCATGTTATATAAAAAAAGCTTTACAGTTGAACTCTTTCAGGACAGCTCGTAGTCTCTACTGCTGGGACGTGAGCTATACAATGTCCCAGTGCTTAGCATTAAATTAGTCATCAGCACTAGGATTAATTTGGGATCAGTAGGAACCCATTTAGTACAATCTGTTGTAGCTTTAGAGATAAGGACTATGTTCGATGTGACACCACCCCTTTTTATCTTTGAAATCTTAGCACGTGCATAATTGCAGTATTCTAATTTATTTTTTTACCGTTGGATATTTATTATAATGAAGCATAGTGTTTATATTGTATAGTTTTTGTGTTCCTTTTTTTTGTTTGTTTTTGTTTTTTTACTGAAAAATGTACTGATCCATTAATGCTCTCAAGAATGACCTTAAAGGAACACTGCAAACACCATAACCACTACATTTTGTTTTGGTTTTGTTGTCAAGTGTGCCCCACTATACTCCCTGTTGCAAGGATTCAGACCGTTTTAGTGTGTGATTGTACGTATGTGTGTATATTTATCTTTATATTTTTCCCTGATTGAAAAAGTGTTAAAGCATTTTACAACTGTAAAAAAATGAGAAACCTAGTTTTGTTGTTGAACCCTGCTTGTCATGAAAACCCACGTTGTGTTTATTCTTGCTTTAACGGACAACTGTCACCTCAAAACTATTCTAGCATGATAAAAAAATACTTTAAAAAAATTTTTTTTTATAGAAAAGTATGTGTTAAATAAAACTAGAAAAACAAACCCCTGATTTTAGTGTATGGATTCTTCAGCCATATACATACATACACCTTGGGTCAATCCTGACCAAGGCAGGACACATAGGAAGAAGTTTTGCCTGTCAAATAGGGTTGTTATTAAAAGTAGAGAGAAATAATAAGAAAATTTTTTTCTTCTTTCTTTTTTTCCTTAAGTTTATTATTCTATATTGAGACATTTGTGTTAACTTTTACTTTAATTTGCAATTAACGTTCAGTGTTTTGTATTTTTGTAATTGCTTTATATTATGTAGCATTAGGTCCGCTATAAAGAAGATTACATTTGCCTAGGTTGTCAGTCAAATAGATTTCATTAAAACGCACAATTTTGATGTTCTTCTGATGGATTTATTTCATTACAAACCATGGTAAAAGGATTGCTTTCTTTGAAACTTTGGCTTAATCCCTTGAGAATTCTGTCATTTTAAAACACACGTGTGCACGCACACACACTTAAAGTTGTGGAAGTATATTATATTAGTGATATAACTAACTCACTAATTAACGTCATGTGACTTTTATTTGCATGAATGAAATTGCTCACCAATGCTGCATAGACTGCTGTACAAGCTCTTGGAGAGTCCATTGCAAATCACATAGCTGTAGCAATAATTGCAAACTCTAAATTAGAACTTGCTTTTAATCAGAGACAGTTCCTAATAACCTATGACATCAAAGAGTGGATGATGGCTTTACCTGCACCAATTTTAGAATACCTAGCTAATGAATAGGGTGAAGGGAGACCAGGAGAAAGATATCAATGCTCTTTAATCTTTGAAGAAGCGTAAGTGGTTGTGGTGCTTTGAGTGTCCCTTTAACTGATGCTGTCAATGTTCTCTTTGTTTCTGGTCGTCTTTGAACAGACTGCAGAATGTTCAGAATATCTCGCATACATCTTTGTTGGAGAACACAGGTGCTATATGAAAGCTTTAGTCATATACTTTTTGTTTTGTCCCTATGATCTCCTTTTCATCCTCCTCCTACTACTTGCACTCTACATGCATCCCTAGCCCTCCCCCACTCTACCCCCATCAACTGCAGATTTAGTTATGCATAGACAACTGTAGCAGAAAATCTAATTTGATGATTAGCAGAACTGCCAGGATCACTTCATGTCAAGAGATGCTATCTCTCTGCTTTCTCACTGATTAATCCCTCTCACAAAACAGCTGCAATGAACTTGCCCCTAAGGGCTGTTTGTAGCCATCAATATATCTCAGCAGTGTCCCACCTATTGAAGACTGCCAGGGATACAAAAGGTATAGCTTCCATGTGCTGCTCTCTTTGGAACACACACAGGAAACACAGTAGTGTTTTGTAGCTTGTAGTGGTTACTTTTATTTTGTTTTGTTTTTTTCTTTTTCTAATTTGTTTAACCCCTTAACGCCGTTACGGCGTTCTATGCCATCCCGCATTAAATGGGTTTTAAAGCCGTTGCGGCGGCATATAAATGCCGTAACGGCGTTAAGGGCTGTGGATCTGCCAGCAGGGGGACTGTCTGAAATGTCAGACAGTCCCCCTGCTGGTGGGAAAGTAAAAAAAAATAAAAAATGAAACATGTTTTAAAATAAATTAAATGTGTATATATAAAATATATATTTATTATAAATATAATATATATACATCTTATATGTAACGTGATACGTAATGTATTTTAATGTTAATATAAGTACATATATGAATCTTAAAATACACTTAGAATGACGTTACATATATATATATATATATATATATGATAATACATATATATATTTTATGTTTATATATACGTATAATTACAATAGTAAATCAATAAAATTATAAATTTTAATTTTTTTTAATTTAAATTATATATACATATGTAATGTCATTCTAACTGTATTTTGTTATTAATACATATAAATTGGTAACAAAGAACACTTGGACTGACATTCTATATATATCTATATATAAAATATAAATAACTGCACATATTTATATATAGATAAATATATATATATATATATAATTACATAAATAACTACATAAGTATACACGTAGAATTTAAATACATATATATGTGTATATATATATATATATGTATATATATAAATTCTACATGTATGCTTAAGTAATATTTTAACATAATTATGTGATTTAATTAATTGTTGTAATATGTTTTACTGTTTTGAAACACTTATGTTTGTGTTCAGTGAAGTCTCCCAAGTATAACAGTACCCCCTATGTACAGGTTTTATGGTGTTTTGGAAGTTAGAGTCAAATATAAGGCTTGCATTTAATTTTTTTTTCACATTGAAATTTGCCAGATTGGTTACGTTGCATTTGAGACCGCATGCAAGCCCAGGAATGAGAATTACCCCCATGATGGCATACCATTTGAAAAAGTAGACAACCCAAGGTATTGCAAATGGGGAGTTTTGAGTATTAAATAGGAACTGTGACCCTATTTAAATGGTGATGAGTCCTTGAAGGTGTAGTGGCCTTGATATCTGCATGTACGAATATACAATTGGGCATCTAACCTTTTTTTTTTTTTACCTGCAAATTCCTCCAATGATGTCATACATGCATGTGCCTGCGTGTTTTATATTCTTCATCTTGCAGATGAAAGTGCTTTTTATGTAGTAGATCTCACCTTAAGTGACACCAATAAGATGCAAATTTAATACAAAAAGTAAAAATTACAAATTAGAATTTAAAAACGTCACAGCTATTATTTAGCTTTTAGTGAACTATTACGTTGTACTGAAGCATAATTGACATTTAAACCGTAAACGTGGGTAGACTTTAAAGGTGTTACTCCAAGCACCATAAAAACTTCAGTGGAGTTCTTGAAACATACATAGACTAACCGCTTCACAGCTGGAGGTGCCACCTCAGATAGTGTTATTAAATAGCTTGCTGGCTTATGTCAATTGTGTGCAAAATGTAGGTGTCAAATTACTTTTGTTTCTGTTTATGCAGCCCTAGCCACACCTCCTAGTGACTGACCCAGCCTGCATGGAAAAAATATAATTTTCAATCAGATGTTAAAAAGACACTCCAAGCACCAAAAAAAACTAATCTAAATTAAGTTGTTATGGTGCCAGGAGGCCCCTGAAGGCACTCTTACCTCAAGAGGTTAATAACCACAGAGACAATTTTAAAGAACGGTTTAACCCATGAGGTAAGAGTGCCTCCAGTCACCATAACAACTTAATTTAGATTAAGTTGTTTTGGTTTCTAAAATGTCCCTTTTAAAGGGACACTGTAGGCATCTAGACCACTTCAGCTCATTGAAGTGGTCTGGGTGCCAACTCCCATCACCCTTAACCCTAGAGTGGTAATTATTGCAGTTTTTATAAACTGCAATAATTACCTTTGATGGTTAACTCCTCCTCTTGTGGCTGTCTACAAGACTTCTGGGCAGATAGGCGACTTTTGATCGCCTAAACGACGTTGGACGTCCTCACGCTATGCATGAGGACTTCCAGCATCACCGAATCCCCATAGGAAAGCATTGAATAATGCTTTCCTTTTGGGAAATCCTAATGCAAGCGCAGCCATTCATTCGCATTAGGTCTCCCTAGAGCGTGGGCGGAGCTGAGCCAGCGCCGAGGGACATCGTCTCTGGGCCAGGTAAGTGACAGAAAGGGTTATGAACCCCTTCTGCACCACGGGGGATTGGAGGGGGGCCTTGACAAAGTGGGAAGCTATAGTGCCAAGGAAACTATTTGTTTTCCTGGCACTATAGTTTCCCTTTAACTTCCTTTAGACGTTTTATACTTATGCTCTGTACATGAAACATTAATCACACACAGGATGAAGGAGATACAACGTTCTAATTTAAACAGATTGTGCAATAACCAAAGTTTAAACATTTGATCTCTTTATAGGAAGTGTTTCGGAAGGGAGGTGTGACTAGGGCTGCTTAAATAAAATGATTTAACTCCTAAATGGCAGGGAGTTGAGCAGTTATACTGGAGGGGCATTAACTATACACCAAAACTGCTGCCTATAATAAATTTGGGGATGTGGGATGGATCAGCCATGAAGGGGTTACTACAACCAAAACTGTTTAGCTATTTCTGGGCTAATTCCTTCTAATATTTACCTATTTAATATCAGCATTTTTTCCCTTTCATTAGTAATAAAAATAATCCTATGTAAGTAAACTAAATAACATCAGTACCAAATTAAACTCAACTTGTTAATCATGAACACAAAGTGCTTCTATTGTTATTTCCAGTGATTGCTTTGTTATTTTGTTAATTATTAGCCCCTGACCTATCTTAATCGCCTGATTGTCAAAGAGGCCAGTTGCAGGTTGCTGCTTCATATGGTTTGTGAAGGGATTAAATGTCCCTCTGGCTTTTTACTGAAAGTACTGTAATTAACCCCTCCCTGTCACAGACCACAGGCTATGTGCTATAGATTTATTTATTTTTTATTTTAGTTTTTTTAAGCATACGGATCAATGCTTTTGAGTCTTTGTATAAAAGTTTGGATGGATGGTTGGGGGAGATCTTTGAACTTCAGTGCATTGAAAGGTGCAGTTGAATGATGCACACGTTAATTTGAGGAATGTTGCAGTCAAAACACTTCAGTTGTATGAAAACACGCAATGACGACTCTGTTTAAGTCTGTTTAAAGGGCACTACACTAAATCACTTTATATTTTTTTTTATTTACTTCTCAGCCTTGTTTAGTTCTGTGTGCTTTTTCTGCTGAAATTCTTTTGTAACATTTAGCATCTGGATTATTCCTGATGTTACAGGTTTACTGAATGTACCCAATCAGGGAGGAAAAACAAAAACTAGGTTCTCTGCACATTGACATGCGTTTCATCCTGCTCTGGGAGTGCATGTGTGTGCAAGGGCAGTTGAGGTTAACACTAAACTCTGGCTGCACCTTATTTATGCAAGTAGCATGGATTCAAGATTTAGATTTGAAAGGGTTACTCCAACCACCATGACCACTTCTGCTATATAAAGTGGTCACAGTGGTAGGGGTCTGGAAGTACAGTGTTTCTGCTTGAAACATAGCATATCCATAGATATTCTTAATTTTGTGTTGGGGCTAGATACACCCCCAGGACACCTGACTTACGCAGCCCAGAACTCTGCACTAATGTCAGTTCTTTGCATAAATTACGTCTGTCGTCAGTGCGCACTGCACAGATATGTCGAGGGAAATAAATGCAGGCTCTACCTACAAGGGAGAAGGTCTTATCTCCCCACCTTCCCACCCACACCGAGAAAAGCCTCCCAATCCTCTGTGTGGATATTTTTCTTTATCACCCCCTCCCTCCTTCTTTTTTCATTCTCTCCCTTTCAAACACTCTGTGCGGGCTTTCAGCATGCGCATTTGCTGTGAGCGCGTTAAATCCTCCAATCAAAGTCTTCTCATTAAGATGTCGGCACAGCCCTCGTGTCCCGAAGATGGGGAACCACTGGGATCTTCACCTGGTGCTGCATTACAGTGATGACTGGATAACAGTCATTTTGGGGCACTTACAGAATAATGCCAATAGGCCGTTATCCAGATAAAACTGAAAAATGATTGGAGAAATCCTTTAATCTCATTTGAGCAGGACTTTTTTTTATCTCTGGTTTCTGTTCATTTGCCATTTACTTACGGTTTTATATCCCCTATGCAAAATTATAAAGCTTTGTGGAATATGGTGGCAAGGCCAAAATAATTGGCCCCAGTCTCAATGTACCCAAGCAGGCACAAATACTCACATACCTTTACACACAGATACATATGGTTTGTTGATGCTATGTAAATGATAACGATGTCAGGCTTCGGTGGTGACATCAGCAAGGGGGCAAAGCCAAGCATTATATGCAGTTTATTTCTAAACAGCTATTTGATGGAAATATATATTTAATTATGTTGTTTCAAAAAGTCGACCAAATTACATGCTGTAGATAGTCAAACTCAAACCAACATAATGTATAATAATGTACAAATAATATAAATTTTGACTTCTTTGACAAAACTACAATAATCTGCCAATATTGATTCCATCTAGAACGTTCATTATGGAATATCTGGCTTCTCATTTAGTCCACCCGGTTAATCTTTATAACCTAGTGGTCTAAATCTTTGTCGCCAAACTTGCCCCCTTCCCCACCAGTTCCTTTGATAAAACGGGGGTCGGGGGAAGGGGAAAAGAAAAGGGGGAAAAAACAATGCAAAGAAAAATAAATCACAAGCTCTCTACAAAATGTTCTGCAAACTCCTCAATTTGCCTTTGAGAGAGAGCGGGAGGACAGATGGAATTTAGACAGGCGTTTAGAGTAATTACTCTGTAACAAGGATTTTGTTGTGAAATTAGTATCTTAAGGAGGTGGCACTGATATCTTTCAAAGGATGAATACCTCATTAAGAATCTGAATCAAGAAAATAGGAAAGTGGCAGTTTGCAATTGGTGCTCAGCAGACACCTGCCTGGTTTTAAATAACCGCTTTGTCCTTCGTCTTTTAAAAACTTGTATCAGTTTTGCTGAACTGCTTTGTTTAAGTGATACAAATCGCTTGTGTTTTGCATACCATGGAAGATCTGTAATTCCAAAAATGTATGTCAAAGGAAGATAATCACGTCTGCTTGCAAGTTTATAATACCTTAACATTAGCAAAGGTGTTCTTATGTCATGGTAAAGATGGCCATTAAAAGCTTTAATGTTCTGCTTTCTTTACCTAACAAATAGAAGAGGACATGTGATTTGAAGTCGGATTAGATCCAGTTTAGATGCCTAGATTAGATTTTGCATTCAGTCATTATTCAGACATCATGACTCTTGTTATAAGCACTTTAAAATTATCCTACGCATTCAGTACACCAGCTCATTTGTTCCTTTCATAATGCTAAGAATCCGATGAAAATATATTTACATGAACTTTTTTTTTCCTTTTTCATCTTCTTTGTGTTTTATACATAAAACGTGAATATTGCTTGTTTTGGGCAGTTTCCTAACTTTTACGGATAATTTTTTGCCAACATAACAGAAGCTTTGTAAGGATACACGCCTGCCAATTTTTCAACAATATTTTAGTAGCTTCACAGGAGCAATTTAGTAATCTCTTAATACATATATAACTACTATGTTAGCATACAGCTTGGTAACACTGTGTTTAAATGAATGGTATCTACATACACAAATTAGTTTTACATTAGTGTGCATATACGTTGCATCTTATTATGAAATTGTGTAAATTTCTAACATTTTAGGAGCAAATCAGTGGCATCTTGCTGTATAAATTAGTCGTATTTATGTGTGCAAATGAATCTTTTAATATGTAAATTATCAGCACCTGTGTAAGCCATGTTAGAACATCTTTCTAAACACTGCATTATACAATTAAGCTGTATTTCTGTAACCTCCTCTATTAAGATTCAATCACAGTGTTTACAGAGGGTATGTCCAACTTTTACAGTTAAATGATGCACCATTTTTTGTAAAGTCAGCTGCTATGTAAATTGCATAGAATACTACAAAATAAGTAGGAAGCTGTTACTGACCTTTGAATGACGATAATTGTACTATGATTAAGCTGACCGTATAAATGTAAAGCTAACTAAAAACAAATCGATACCGAAAGATGTAATCACTGCCAACACTGGCCTAGTAAATTTAGAGGGAACAATATTCTAATAATGCTTATTAACCAAGGAGAAGGTATGCCACTGCCTCAAGGTCTACAGGAGTGTCCAGATGACCCCCACCCACTGTAAGTAGTCAAATTATTTACTAATGGTTTGACTGCTTACCTGGAGTTCCCAGAGCATGGCTCCCTAACTCATTCTGGCCATGAGAGCTGTAAATGTAAATCATACATTGGCTCTCCTGAGCTAGCACAGCAGACATAGCTCATAGGCTGAGAGCATCAGCTGATCACATTCATGGAGTGAGGTAAGCAATGCACTTGTGGTCTTAGCTCAGGCAGAAAGCTTCTGGTAGCAGAAACAAGGGAGCAGTGCCCAGTGCATGCCAGGTAAGAAATCATATTACCAAAAAGTTTACTACTTATACAGGAGGGGGGGTGACCATGACCACTGAACTATTCACTCCTCCCTCCCCCCTTTATCCTGGTTTACAAAATAAAAAATGCATCTCATCATGTAATATAAAAAAATATATATATATGTATTTTTTATATATATATATATATATATATATATAGCCTTATTGTCTTGTTGTCTTGTACCTTACATGCCCCAGAAATATATTGACAGGGGCTTGTTTTATCTTATGTGCATCTTGGCAGTGATTATTTAATGGACACTTTCTGCCTTCCCACACTGCTGTATTAATCATCAGTATGCCGGTACCTGCAAACTCCTTTACAGTTATGGTAGCTAGTAGTCATCACTTTCCAAAATGTATTATACAAAGTGATAGACAGAAAAATAAATTTCACATGCTAACATACTAGGAATAAGACTATTCTAAATAAGCAACACTACTCTGATACATGTGTTTTATTTATCACCCCTCCACCCACCCCGGATTGTGAAAGCATGAACTCTGCCAGCAATCTATCCATATTTGTATTTTAACCTATTTTTGTTATGGCTCATAAAATGCCTGTGTGCCAAGGGACACGTGAAGACAGACTTTCACATGTTCCTAGTGTGTCGTGCTTAGGAGAATGAAATGGTGTTTATCTGCGATTACCATCCACTGAAAATGTTGACTTAACGTAAATTGCTCAGGGTTATTCAGGGTGCTCAGCTAGTGAGCTGTGTGGCAGGTATCAAAAATATGTCTTAAAGTACAACACTTTTAAACATCGCTATTCCCTGAAAATAATCGCAATAGCAGAATCGCTTATAGAGATCATATTTAATATGCTTTTAAAATATTTTTTTAGAATATTATGTATAATGTCAATATTTTTGTTTATAAATACGATTCTCGTGCTGCATTTTAGCCATATATATAAACCCTGTTTAGTGCAAAATGTCTTGAATTCAAAGTGAATTTCAAATTTAAAGGGACACTTTAGGCACCTAGTTCCCTCTATCTTATTGAAGTGTTCTGGGTGTAATGCCCCTGTTGTTTTAACTGTACAACTGAAAACTTTGCCGTCTTGCAGGAACAGAAATGTTTACACATCAAGTTTAAAATGTCTCTAGTTGGATTGGCTGAGATCATCAATATTGATGGTCTCAGCCTAGGAGGCGGGGCTCCGTCACGGAGAATGGCACACCTCAGTGTGTCATAAGTTTGCCATGGCTAAAATTTTAAATTCACCTTTAATTCACCTTGAATTCTCATTTTAGTGAATAACCTTGTAACACTCTGTGTTGGGTATACTTTATACCTTCAATGTCTTAGGTTTTAACCAATGGTAAAGTTTTAACCTTTTATGTGTGCTTATAATTATACAAATCATATTTTAATAAATATTGCAAATATAATGGGCGATGTTGGCTGGCAACTATGGTTTTCCTTCAATTATCCCCCTTTTTATTTTTTTTATATATATATTTTTTTTTTTAGATTACTGTTCGAATGTCTGCCTAATATCTACCAATCCATCACATTTGTATATTTATTTTTAAAAATGTGGCTTTATATAACAAGTGCTGTTGCAAAATATAGATATTTGGTTATCATGGAGAATAGTCAGCACTCTAATAAAAAAATTCTCTATCTGACAATATTCTCAAATACTTGTATGTTTCTGCCCAGAATCCCTTGCTGCAGCTGATGCAGTGTTTGCTATATAATTGTGTGTATAGCAGATTAATGGACTGTTCCAGACATGTGACTCTGCTCAGAAGTGTTCTTTATCATTATTGTATCAATGTATTAATTGCTTTGCTGTCAGACATCCCCGTAATTTATTGTTTTGTAAAGCATTGTTGAACTCCACCAGAGGTCAGGCTGATATATGCGTGTCTGCATGTGCATAAAATACAGGATTTTGCCCTAGAAGTCTAGAATGTAAAAGCTGTAATGTCTCCCATCCCAAGCCTTGCTGTTTATTTTTTAAAAAATATTTTATTATTTAATCTACAAGATAGCCTTATATATTATATGCTCACATATTTATACCCTTCCACTTCTGAAAAACAATTCTACTAGGAGAGGTTCTTATAAAATAGTGTTTACTCATTATTCCCCTAAATGTGCCACTTCCTATTCCCTTATGTTTTATTGAACAACCTAGTGAAGTTACCCAAAGGCAGTATTTCACAATAGTTATCCAGTTTAAACAGAATCTAATGACACTTGTAAAAGAAGGTCATATGTATTAAAATAGAAACATGTCTATCTTGAAGGAGAAATTTAAATGTATCTAAACTTGTATGCTGTAGGCCATTTTCCCCCCTGTTAAATAAAGGCACACCTGCTCAGGAAAGTATTTAGAACTGCAGGTGTTAACTGTCCCAACAGCTATTGATGACCTTAATGCTACGATACAGTATTCCCATTGATCCCATACAGTCATGCTGTAAAAGTATATAAATAACACATTCTAATGTACTCTGACCTTATAATGAATTGTTAAGGGTTTCTCTGTTCAGTTTGCTTCAAAATCGTTCAGTTTCTTGTTGGCATGTTTTGCTACTGGTGTATTTAAAAATCCTACGATATGGTAGATCCATTGGCAGTCTAAGCACCATAACCTATTCATGCTGTTGTAGTGGTCATGGCTGCTAGTAATAAGTTCTGGGTTACATTTAATAAAAAATGGAGGTCCGAAAACAAAATTGCACTCAAGTTATAAATGCTGTCGAAATAAGGATGAAATTGATATCACTAAAAGCAAGAGTGGAAGGTGGTTCCTTTAAGAAGCACTGGTTTTGGTCAAAGCACTTAAATGGCTTGGTTTAGAACCAGGAGTAATACCGACAGCCAACTAGTAGCCATTACATTGTCTAAATCTCAATAATTTACAATTTAAGTTGATGAATAGGTGGCATTTTGTCCCAACCAGCATCGCTAAAATGTATCCAAATGGTACCGATAGATGCTGGAGATGCAACAGATCAAGGGGGGATCAGATGTATATATGGTGAAACTGATCTCTTTTTAAATTCAATCTGGCACAAAGTTGAAGAATTCTTTTTTAAATGGTTAGGACGTAAATTTGACCTCACTCCCACTAGGGCACATCTACATATGTCTTTTGAAGGGCTGAATCAAGATGAGAAAAAAATATTTGTGCATTTAATGACCGCAGCAAAAGTGTATAGAGCAAAAAAACTGGAAATCATCAAATTTACTTAATTGGCCTATGGTTAAGACTGTTTATTTTCCAATGCAGAATGGTAAGAGGCATTATGCTATACGCCAATAAAGACAATACCCAGCATTCTTTCTAGAATAATATACTCAAGGCAATGGGAGAAGATAGATAACCAGAATAAATACATTGGGTTACATGTATGACTATATAGCTGAGGGTTACATTTCATCCCATAAGGATATTGTTTAAGGATTCTTGAACACCAAGTCCTATGTTAGTGTGTGTGTGTGTGTGTGTGTGTGTGTATGTATATTATATATATGTATATAATATGTGTGTGTGTGTATGTGTGTGTATGTATATATATGTGTGTGTGTATGTATATGTTTGTAATGTATTGGTGTGTTTTGATAATTATACATTTTTCTTTTTAAAAATATGGACACATATGTTTTTTGCAAATATTAAAACAGAGCAAAATAAAAAATTAAATACTAAAAAAAAAAAAGTTGCATTGAGTGAGATGGTAGCAACATCTAGGAAACACTTCACTGTACCCTATATTTAACTATTATTGACCAAAATTGGCCCTGTGAATCTGATATATTGCTGCATGCTCTTACATTCTGAAAAAGGATTAATGCTCTTATTTTCTCCCTTTTGGTTTACTTTTCTTGTAGTGTAACCATCTGCCCAGCTGACCACAACTCCTTGTAACCATGTTGGCCTGTCTTCAGAGAACCCAGAATCCTCCAGTGAAGCACCTTTTATGTGCAAACAAGGGACTAGAACCTCGAAAGTGTAAGTAGCCATAACAGAATTATATAGTGTTAGAAGTAGTTTTATAGATGTGCCTCTTCTTTATTTATTTGGATCCTACATGCTACCACTGAAGCCGTATACATTATGATGTAAATGTAATGTCTATTATTAGATTCTGCGATATTTACTTCTCATTGTTAATTTAAAAATATAAGACCCAGGAAAATGCATTTCACGAAAAATGACAGTTCTTGGTGAGGCTACAATACATACACTGACTTAACTAATGACATCCTCTTGAGTGACCTTTAACAACATATGAATGGCATAACTAAACATGTTTGAATCTTACGTTTGCCTAAAAGCAATTTCTTTTCCTAATTCTGTTTGTTTTGTTTTTTTGTTTTATTTTATTCAAATTGGTAGCATGTTTTTCTGTATGTCGTAGTACCGTATAAATATGCCTAGTGTAGCAAATTGTTCATTTTGTATATGGATATGGTTTTGGTTACTGCTTAATAGCAAACATATAATAATACATACACCCATATTAGTGTTTTTATTTATCAATACACTCTCAGTTATCACTTTGTTAGGTACTAGGTTTAGTATTGGGTAGGACAACCATTTTGTTCACAAAGAACAGCCTGACAATGTTGTGGCATAGATTTTATAGATTCCATAACATGCTTGAAATTCTCCTTAGGGATTTTACACCGTGGTAACATAACGGTATCAGACAGCTTCTAAAACTTTGGGCTATCGGAGTGTTCCAAAGCCATGTTTATGGTAGCTGGTTGACATGAGAAATTGGTTACTTGCAATAAGCAGACATCCCAAGTCTCCCAGTATTTCCTTGAGATTCCCTCATTTTGCATGGGTCTCCCTGACACCCGCAGAACATGTATAATATCCCGGAAATCACACACATGATCTGACATCTAATGTATATCAGATACAAAGGATATTATACATGATTTGTGCCCCCATTCCTAATACTCACTAAGCAGATCCAGTGGGGTACCGGCACTTTAAGAGCTGACCACAGAACCAGCCAGCAGGGAGGAAGTAATGACAGGCTGTCACTTCCACCCTGCTTCACAAAGAACCGCACAGGAGGAAGAGAGGGAAGAGAAGGCAGCATAGGTGCAGAGGAGAGGCTGGACTGAGCTTCTACTGCATGCTCACTCACATCAGCCTCAGCCAGATCTCCAGGACACAAAGGTAAGGTAACATGAGGGTGGCTGATATATAAAGTATATGTGTTAGTGTTTATCTGTGTGTTTGTGTCAGTGTGTGTATCTGAGTGATTGTGTCAGTGTGTGTATCTGAGTGATTGTGTCAGTGTGTGTATCTGAGTGTGTATGTGCTTGTGTGTGTATCTGAGAGTTTGTTCCAGTGTGTGTATCTGAGTGTATGTGCCAGTGTGTTTATGTGTGTATCTGAGTGTGTGTCAGTGTGTATCTGTGTGTGTGTGTGCGAGTGCGTGTATCTGTGTGTCAAGGTGTTCATACATGTTTGCGGGCTTTGTGTGTCTGTGGTGTTGGGGGGGGTGTGCGCGCTGTAGAGGGCCACCTCCCTGAAATACATTTTTCCAGGTTGGGATGTCTGAATCAGTATGTTTATACGTACTGTTTCCATAAATTTAAAGCACCTTTGGGCTTTAGTGCTTTGCGATCGTCATAACTGTAGGAATTATGCAAACATCAAGAATGGCTGCACACAATGGATTGTAGAGGTATAAGTTATGGGTGCCCTTACCCCATCCATTTCAGACACCCCGTTAGGAGATCTTAAAGGTAAAGTTTCTTTTTATCTGGCGATTTTGCCAATATTCTGTTTAAAGTAGAGGTACACTGACTCCATGGTGAACAATACCCAAATAATCTGCGTGTTTCAAGTTCACATCAAGAAAACCTTTTTATGTTATGTTGGATCATGTTTACTGTGCATAACATAACTAGTTGTAGAATTTACAAAAATTAGTAATCCCTCCCAGATTATTATTTTAGGAATCACATAGCTATTCGTATTGCATTTTTATTCAACCCATTAATGTCTGTTACACAGTATTTGTGCATCTCTGATTTTCAAAGGGCCAACCTAAGCACTAAAACCACTTCACCTTAAGTAATTTTTGGAAATCGTTTCCAAACCTACTATTGGCTGTCTGACTGAAATACATTCCATTATTCAATCTTTGTTTGCTTCCAGCATTAACATGTTAAAGGGTTACTCCAAGCCTGCTGTAGTGATTATGATGCCAGGAGTAGCGTGGCCTGGTTCCCAGGTACTGGGGCAAATCGTTTAGCCACGGTTTTCCGTCTTACCTGGGTCTACACTGGGTGCCAATAGTACTTGCTGGATGGTGATGCACTTACGGCTTCTGCAGAGCTGTAGAAGCCGGAAGCAGACGTCCTCACCAGTCATTGGCCCAGAGGATATGTCTTAAAATAATTCGGATTAATAGTGTCCAACAGTGGCAGGCCAAGTTTAGGCAGCCTTGCTATTATGTTATAAAATGTTCTGATATTTCAAGCACAGTATGGGTTAATTGTCTGTTTGTAATAGGGAGACATGTCGCTGAAATCCAGCCTTCTATTTCCAGTGTCACCAGCTCAGGGAGCGAAATGACAGGACGTGATAAAGGTCTTTCAGTAATTTCAATGGGGTTCTATTTTAATACAGATTTCTTTGTCTAAATTCTGTAAGATTTCTTTATTTATTCCACCACTTGCTATTTTTCCTCAGCTACTGTATTCCTCTTAACTCATTCCATGCCAAACAGACTACAGTGTATCATTGACTTGCTAAGTCATGGATTGGGATACTTGCAAAATACATAGATTTATATATATGTATGTATGTGTGTGTGTGTGTGTATATGTATGTATATATATATATATATATATATATATATATATATATATATAAATGATGATTGATATACAAAGAAAAATATATACATTTTATATACATATATCCCGTTTAGGATTCGGAGCAAATAATAAAATAACTTTATTGAATTACTGAGTACTGTTGAGTATGATTAAGACACGGGTGCTCCTTTGCCTCGGTCATTTTATTGGGTAAATAAAAAGTTACTCATGCCTTCAGATCTATTCAAAGACCAGCAATAGATTTTGTGGAATGGAACATGCGAGTTTGGGTCAAGCTGGGTTTATAACATAGATTAAGACTGGCTGACGACCAAGGTCGGGAGGGCCTGCTATTATCTACTCACCACACGTCAATAGAATTACACCCATCACCAGAAGGTCACATCTTCTGCAAGCCAAGGTAAAGCAGAATAATTTATCATTTGTATATAGCAATGTCTGTCAAAAGTGCATCTAATATGATTTTGCTTCCTCAAATCCTTCCTGTTTGTTTTCCATTTATTTTTTAGAAACTATTCATAGATCCAAGCCACAAAATCTATTTAGAAGACAGCGGATTTCTGTCAAATGAATGAAAAAATTATTAAATATTCATTCGTACTTCATGACAGAGCCTTTCTTGACGTCCACAAATATACACTACATTTTTTTTATGTTTTGACTGGTCAAAATTATCACTTTATTATGTGTTTTATACCAAATCTGTAATGCCAAGACCTTTTGATGTAAAGGCTGGAAACCAAGTGTTCTTTTATTCTCTCCTTGTACTTGCATTTTAGTAAATGAAGTTATTAAATTATTATTAATTATTTATTATTATTATTATTCTGCAATCCTACCCCTCCCCCCCTTAAATTCCCCCCACCACACACACACCGCCATTCTGACAATATAAAATAATTCTGTCTGCACAGGTAAAAGATGAAGCCAACTGAAAAGATGATTTACCAACTGAACTGGTTTAGGGTGTGGAGAGACAAGTAACTGTAACTGGACATGTTTATTTTTTTCAGCCCCTAAGAGAAAAGATCTAGTAGGAAGGAAGGACAGATCTCATGCATAAAGAGCAGTGGCCCTGCTTGTGAAATGGGACCCAAAGTATAGACTAGACTAGAAGGATCTTGACATAGTTTTCCAATCTTGTTAAAATTAAACTAATCCAAACATGGACTCTGTTTCTCTGGATGAAATAATGCTGTGTGTTCCCAGTCATACAAATAAATAGGGATTATATTCTGCTGTGACTGGTGAGATGAACAATATACCCTTCTTCCCACTGGAGGTTCTGCATTGAATTTTCAAGACAAAATGTGAAAGTCCGATGACTAGATCATTAAGTGTCTCATTACAGCCGCTGGAAATTTCACACTTTAGAGAATATCCTTTGCCTAATCCAAAAGACACATTATAGTAGACAGTGTAATTAAACCAGGCGTAAAATAAGAACTAATAGAAAGAAACTCACGAGTTGCTTGGTGAGTCCATAAAATATATAATGCTTACAGAATAAAAACTGCATTGTAGCACCACTCATGCTGCTTTATATTTTTCCTGTCAGGGCTCAGAGACTTAACCCATGACAGAGAAAATCAATTTTACTGTGCATCAGGGTAGTAGGGCTCACACGTATTAGAACATGAGCTGAGCCCATACTCACAGCATGGAAGCCCTGTAGGCAGGTGCACACATCATTGGCATATGTAGTGATTTGACCACACCTTTCATAAATGTAAACATTGTAATGTAAGATAATACAAAGAACTTCTTTCCTTACTAAGGAAGGGTATTGAAACACTGATTACATTTTACAAAGCCCTAAATGCATATTATCTGCACATAGTGCATCCTTGTCCTGCGGCCTTTAGTTTCCGTTCTTCGATCACATCTTTTTGTAATTTAATGGTAACAAGTTATTTCTCATGATAATTTAGCAATATTTGTGCATTTTTGGTAAATTACAAGGATGTTTTATTCACGGTAATTCTGCATTCTATATGGAACAATGTTGCAGAAATTATTCACACCATTTACCACATATATTAGTAGTTTCTTCACAAATATTCCCCATATTGAACAGATGTATTTCAAATAGTATGGTAATTGGGCATCAAGCACATGATTAAGTACCCTCTTTCTCTATCAGGAGTGTTTCAAGGGGTTAAACATGGTTTAAAAAATGTCCATTAATGCTATGTAGTATGATGAAGTATTATGATTACACTGGATATTTGGATTCTTGAGAATTCCCTATATAAGCTGATTGAGAAACTGTTCAAAATAGTAACTTGTAGATCCAACAGTAAAATCACTAGCTGGAAATCTTAAAATTTATTTTATTCCTCCAATACTGGCATCCCTTCAAGCAGAATGCATGTGGCCATGGGGTAAAGGGGGCACTGTCCTGAAAAAAAAATCATGAGAGCTGGGATTCCTGAAATTCAGTCCATTTTTATTATCTCTAATTAAAAAAAAATCATTAATTTTGTACTACATTTTGAAAACATGTTAGTACTTCATAAAATACTGTTTAGTGGATGAGCCTCCCAATATTAGCCCTGGGGGAAGGCCTTGCACAGGGGGCATACCAGCATGGACATGCAAATTGTCATCTGCATCTGTACATACCTAGCAGCATGAAGGTGCCTCATTTGTACACATTTATGACTTTATTCTATGCTTGGCTCATACATGTACATTTTCACATTTAATATTCATTTTTATTTTTTTTTAATAGTCTTTTTTCAAGAACATTGGGTTCAAAGTGAGTTAATCCAGATGGGTTTTAAACCAAGGCAATGCCAACAACTCTGGACAATTCTAAGTATCCTCTAAATGACTTGCAAAATTTAAATACTACATACACTATTACCCTGTGAAATGTTCTAAAACCAAAGCATGCCCTCAGACCCTCTGCCAATTCCAATTTAATGTGCAAGGTTTGCCGGACTGCCCATCTACTGGATACAAACACATAAAGTATGATATTTATTCACAAATAACTCTGTGGTATGCATTTCCCATATAGAACCCACCATTAAAATATAATATGAAAACCTTAGATTAACCTCTGACCCCATGAAACGTTAACCTTTCCATGTGTTAGGAAAAGCCATGCCTGAAGTAACACTATCTACATGTCACGCACATATGTCCCCTGGAGCCAAAACAGAAATATTATTTTCCTGTAGGTGTCCCTGATAATACCTTCAGTGTTCTAGTAGTTAGTGTTTTGTGGACCTGTCTGTGTCAACCACTTTTTTTTTTTTTTTTTAATCTCTTAAAATATTGACCGCAGTTATTTATATAGGGAGTTTTTTAGTTTTTTTCATAAATCCACCAGTGTTTTCACTCAATAGTTGTTCCTTGCTTTGCCCCTGACCTTGCCATTATCCAGCTTTAGAGCATAACCTTTTGTTCTAGCACATTTCTTCCTCTGAAAATGCTAATTTGATTTATTCTTAATCCTGGTAACCCTTACGTTTTTAGACCTAAATCAGCACTACTGATAAACTAATTAAGAGTTTCCATGTGTGCGGCAGGAAAGACTTAACCCTTTCATTGCCAGCAGACCAAACAACGCAATGCAGAGCAATAAACTTCCTAGCCCGCAGATCTTTCCTGATTCCCTCTGTTGGATGCACTGCAGGAACTGTATTTAAATTATATATAAATCATAATCTGCAAATCCATGCAGCCAAATTCATTTCACTATTGCTCTGTTCAGCAGAGAGGAGCGTTCTTCTCTGTAATTAAATGTCACTTACATGCAGTATGCCTTTATTCCTGGGCCGCTCTGGCCCTACTTCGTTATATTGATGAATCAGAACTGCACATTAATCTAACATGATATAGCTATCTATACATAAAACACAGCTACAGTACACAGCAGCTACAATAAAACAAGAGATCCAGTGTTGTACTTAGTACATGCACATAGGGTTAAAATGTAGTCTTTATTAAGAGCTGTTTTTCCCTTCTAAAATGTACTATTTCCACTTTTTATATTTTTATACTCTCAATATGAAACTTTGTATAATAAATAATATACATTAATGGTTATAGTTGCAAACCTAGAATATCCATAAACTACATTGTCTGCAATATTATATTATATATAAGAAGTATGTGTAGATAGACAGAAGATCGTAAGCTCATTTGAGTAGTGTTTCCTTCACATCTTGTATCTGTCAACATTATTTGTGTATGTCAATTATTTAATGTTAAATATTCTCATTGTATATTTAGAAAGCTGTTTGGGGAAATATTGGTGCTCTATAAATTATGACGATAATGTGATAATTATATCATTTGATACAAAAAATATGATTTTTAATTTAAACCATCACAAATATAGCCACACTGTAATATGCTTGCACAATGACAGTCAAGATCAGACTTGTACAATGGAACACTTCTGAAATTGAAAAAAAATAAAATGGTGATATCTAGTTAACACCTTTGCTGCCAGTTTGATCTGTACCAGCATTACAGAGGTAGAAAAAGGAGCAACCAATCTGTCAGAGAGAGAAAAAGCATTCTCATTTTAAATGGATTGGAAGGGCCCTGCAGCTTGCCGGAGGCAGGCTTAAACCCCCCTCTGTACTGTCATTTAAGAGACAGATCTGCAAATATTCTCTATATTAATATTTCATTTTTCTCTTAAAGGCACAAGGCCATATTATGTGATACACGGTAATGATTGCTCTTTTAAAACTAGTAATCTGCTCATCGTTTAACCTTTTAGATTCCAAAAGACATGCGTTGAGAATCTCGCTCGTGTAGCTGGTAATTAGCAGGCTGATTTGCCTTTACTATGAGTAAAATATTATATTATGACAGGAAATGGTAATGCAGATTAATGGCCACAATTCATGGTTCAATGACTGTATACTTCTTGGGGTAAATCGTATTTTAATGGAACATTTTGATTGTACCAGTGAAGCATGGCTGTAAAGAAAATCAATACAACTGACTCCATATGTAATAAATAGGAAACACAAAAAAAGTATCCATTCCAGATGTGTGCATGTAAACAGTGCCTTGATGAGACTGGAATATCAAAATTAAAGTTTAACATGTTGTGTCAGGACTTCCATAAAAAAAGCACAAAATTTGTATTTATTGACACGTCTGACATAATTGCAGTATGCAACAATGTTTTTGTTTTATGATCAAGTAATGCTTGGCTTTCCAAAAGCCAATTCATAGGTCAAGTGCCCGAGGTCGGCTAAGGTTGGGGAGGGCAATAGTCTGCCAATCCAGCAGACTTACATTAACACACACAGACCTTACAATATTGTGCTTAGTCACTGGACATTCAGTCTGTTAAACGCTGCCATCGTTTAACTCTTTGAGTGATTGTGATGCACATGGTTTATTTTCTAAGACATTTGTAGGGTGCCTATTATCAGTTCTATGTAATTACTGCACCCTATTCCCTGTGTGTGCATAGAAGCAGACAGTGCTTGGAAACAACCACATTTATGCATAAAACATTAGATTAGACAAGTCTTGACTGTATAAGAAATATGTTAGAATTATCATATTTTGTAGGTCAAATATTAACATGAAAAATACAAGGGCATAAAAAGTCAAAATTTTGAGAATGTAATAAAAAGTTGGGTTGGGTGATAGTCTGGTTAAGGAATGGGTTAATACAGTTTACTCGCGTTCAGATGAACTGCCCGCTTAGGATTCGTGTTGCCCTCTAGGACTATAACACGATATGACAAGCTGTGCTGTTGCACCAGTCAGGGCTAATAATGTGTCTTGCGTTGTTTGTGCTGAGCAGACGTATGCAAAATGATGTGTACACAGTGTCTGGCTGGACCAAGTTAACCATCCTAGTGCCAGAAGTATGAGTAACACATTTTTCTGGCACATGTGCAGATTATGTATGGCAATATTCAGAATGCCACAAGACTTATGTATTTGAGTCATATTGCGTATCATGTATAAATATTATGCCTGGGAATACACTGAAACTGCTTTATGCGGGTATTAGAGTCCTTTGGTTTTCATCCATATAGCCCAGTTTTGACTTTAGAAGCAATTTATTATAATTCTTGAGTGCTAATCTTGGCAATATAGTGAAAAGTAAACAAAGGCCATTTTTTGAAAGTAATTAGACTTTATTCTTATTTTCTTATGGTAAAACCTTAAAAGAAGACTCCAGTGCCCAAATGTAACATTTCTGTTTTTAAATCACTATTTAGTAGATATATCCCTAATGAAAACATGCATGCTTTTAATGTTTTAATTGTGCGTTTTTTAAATGGGTGCATATCTAAAAAAATATTTGAAAAAGCTGTAGATCTTTTGCCCCACAGTCTTTTGGACAGCCAAAGAGAGTCTGGGTTAAAAGGGAATGACTGGCAATCACAGACTTCCCAATGCAGCTCAATGAGAAGTCTTTGCAAGGCAGGTGCTCTCGGCAATAGCTGCCTCTCGAGTTTAGCTCCACTGAGTTAACCATCCAGGAAGTAACAGGACCTTTTGTCCTTTTTAATATGTTTTTGGTAGACAAAGACATACACACGTACAGTCATACTATGTGGTAGACATGTGCAATCTGGTTCGGTCCGAATTGAAATTTGGCCGAATTTCGGACGTTTGGATGCTTCTGAATTGCCAAATTTCGGAAGTGCCAAAGTGCTTCGGACTTCTGAAAAGTGGCAAAACAGGTAGGGTTAGGGTTAGGTTAGGAGTTTGGTTAGAAGTAAGGTTAGGGGTAGCGTTGGGTTAGGAGTAGGGTTTGGGTAAGAGTAGGGGTAGGGTTAGGAGTTGGGTTGGGTTAGGGTTAGGAGTAGGGGTATGGTTAGGGTAGGGGTACCTCTACCCCTAACCCTACCCCTAAACCTAGTAACAACATATATTTTTAATATCCAATTGTTTAATTTTCATTTTACTCATTGACACATTGTTTATTTTGCTAGGAACCGAACTTGTGATCTGAGGTTTGAACAGGTTCTTCTACAGTTGCAAAATCATAATCCACTTCAGACTAGAATGTCATATGATCTTGGAAGCCCACTCCTACTAATCCATCTTAAATTTATATGTACATTTCCAATATGAAATTTAATGTAACATGGTGTGTTTACTATTTTAACTAACTGATGTGCAACTGTAGGATAGATTTTTACTTGTTTATTTGTATTAAATCTTTTAAACAAAAAGCAATGATTATGCTTCAAAATATGTCATCTTTAATCTGCATTTGTATTTAACTGATGAAAAACAAATAATTTTACATTTCTATCAATCCATTCTAGAAATGTTAGGACTTAAAATGTATAGGAGTTCAGTTTATACTCTGAGATGTAAAAATGTATGTAATTATTGAAACCTTACTATCTGGTTAGCACATGAAGAAGCATTTGAGGAAAATAATTTGTGTAATAAATCAGCTGTGATTTTTTTTGGAATAAGACTGGTATATCCGGTTTCTGATTCTAGTTTACATGATTCTCACTGCTATCTAATGCAGGAGACTTCAATCTGCATCTATTTATCTTCTGTTATATATTACTGACCGTCACTTTATAATTTTAAACTGCTATCAAACATGGACCAATTATCATGGAAACCAGTGTGATTGTCCTGCATATTTCTGTTGGTTTCCTCCAACAGATCTTTGTGAATTTCTATTATCAGTTCCATTACTTTTTATTAATCACCCACCTCATTAGTAAAGAAACGGTGGTTTGTTCTGCCTGAATCCCTATCCCCCTCAGCTCATGTGTGCAGTCTACTGGTCTGTCTGCCCAACTTATGGGTGGAATTCATTGCATGCTGTATTAGATCTCTTGAGGGTTGGATGATTTTCAAGTCACAATTATCAAGTGTTTATGAAGATCGGCCCATCAGAATTTCTTGCCACTGCCTTCCACCTCTTCCATCTCATACATCTCATTTATAACGTCAAATCGCCTCTTTCGTATAGTCTTCTTTCAGCAACATGTGCCCTTACCACGGCAGAACGAAATTCATTATAGTGCTCAGGCTGGCAGTGTATCATGGGAAAATCCAGTTCACTAACACTTTCTGTACTACAGTCGACATTCATTGGAATGGGGATTCTGATCTTCCTCTTGCCTCACTTTGGTTTTTGAAGACCATCATCTCAGCCCTTATGGTCTCCTCCTTTTTTTCTTGATTCTGTAGTCTGCCTCACTTGTCTCTTTCCACTAACACATAGTGTAACATTTCAATAAATACAATTGCGTTTTCTCAAGCACATAGTCTGTGTCCAAGGAATTTTCCTCTTCTAGAGGCACAAAGCAGTTAATTTCTCTAGCTGAATAAGACAAGGAATTTATATGAAAGTCACTGCAGATAAGGAATTTATGTAACATATTTTGCTGTACAAAAGGCATGAAGCAGCTGGCCAGCTTTCCGATTTCACTGATCTAAAATGGATCATTCATTAAACAAAAATCAATGATGTCGTATCCCCAAGTGATTACAGTGCAAATTCTTCTTTGCTTTAATTATGGCTTTTTTCCTTTTTTTTTTTTTGTGGGTCGTCGATCCTTTCCTTACGTGTATCTCTTTTTTTTTTTTTCTGAACAGTTAGGTCGTCTATGAAAAGGCGAACACTGTGATAAAGTACTTTATAAATACAGACTGTGCTTTCCAGCTAGGAGGAAAGATATGACACCCGATATTTAACAAAAACCTTTTCATCCCATTTTACAGTGCTGCAAAATATGCCAGGGCTTTATAAATAAGCAATGATGACAATAATGCTTGAATTGTGAATGGCTAGAACGAATTACAGGAGGAAAGCATTTTGCTCTTCAAAGAAAGAGGAATACTATAAGAGATCTTGCTCTGAAGAATATTGTGTGGCAGGCTCCTGACAAATGAAGAAGTATTACTTTTACAGAAAAAGCCACCCAGCAAGTGTACTTGAAAAATGTTCTGCCGGGCAAGAGTATGCTTACCATAAAATAAAACTAGGCATTATATAGGTGTGTGTGTCTATTATTTTTGCTAAAAATATATAATGCTATCGAGTCCCATTCTGCAAGGTTGGTGGCATGATCAGTGAATTGTTTGCCATAATTCCCAGTTGACAGACTCTGCATGGTTGGGCCCTCAATTATGGGGCATTGCTTGCACTTAAAGGGCTACTCCAAGCATCATGACCACTTTAGTGATTTGAAGTGTATATGGGTAGCATTTAGTTATGTAGTGCTGTACATATGGAGAGAAGCCCCTTTGCCGCTGGAAGTGTAACACCACCTCCAGCTGCATTGCTAAAGTGTCATCAGCCAGCTTGGAATTAGAGTTGGGTACTGGCTCATGTCAGTTCTGTGCATATTCCAATGCACAGAATTGCATTTATTGGCTAAGAGCAGTCTGCAGAAGCCAGGTATTAGTCAAAGCAAACTTAAAGGAAAGCAGGGGCCTGGGAAGACCAGGTAAGATGGCAAAACATTGCAAAATGTTTGCCCAATTACTGGTAAATAGGTCCAGCTTGCTGTAGTGGTTATGGTGCCAGGTGTCCCCTAACAACCAAAGTCTTTTTAAATGGTTTTACTTCCCACTTATTGTCCAGCAGGCACTGCTTCCCCACCTACATTACAATCTGAGAGAGCCTAAAGTTCCGTTAGCTCTCCTGAGCTAAGCGATGCAGTGCATTTTACAAAAAGTGCAGATCTCAATATAACTTGGTCATTTTATACATTAACTTTGTTGCACACCCCTGGCTGTCAGACAGATGGTCCTGTTACTTCCTGGTTTGGTTTGCTCAGTGGAGCTAAACTCAAGAGGCAGCTATTGCCCAGAGCACCTACCTTGCAAAGACTTCTCATTTAGCTGCACTGGGTGGTCTGTGATTGGGCACTCACAGAAAGTCTTGCCGTGGTTAGAAGGGGAGGACCGACAAAGGCAACAGACATGGGGATGTATCCTTAAAATAGGGATTTTTTTTCCCCTTTGTCCCTTTAATTGGTAATTCAGAGAAACAAACTATTGCCTAAAATGTAGCTGATGTAGATGTAATCTGAGTGGAGAAGGAGTCTTTCCTTTGGCATTTTAAAATGAAACAAGAAATGTTATTCTAAGTGAGAGTCCCACCTCATTCTGGACATGTGATTGATCATGGGACATTTGGAATTTGCAACGCATGCTAAGCTATTCCAGAACAGCACTGTATTTAATGAAATCTCATAAAAATAAATAAATACTAGCACTCTGATGGCAAACGTTTAGCCAGCTATTATGATGTGCCTTTACTTCCAAAATGACAATTCCTCTTTAAGTATCCAGCTGGAAGAGGAGTAAAGAGGAGTTTTATTTTCCATTATAAGTTTGCAAATGTCACACAGCTAATTAGTGCCACATTAATTGAGAGTTGGGGATTCTGCCAAGGACAGCGGTGTCAGCTTGAAGGACAATGCAGATAGTGTGTGGCAAAATGGAAAGAAAAATTTGTCACTGAAAAAGATAGTTGTATGTATCTGTTCAGGCACGCCTATAATCAAGAAGATGTAATCCTTAAAGGAACACTATATTGTCAGGAACACAAACCTGTATTCCTGACACTATAGTGTTTAACTATTTAGCCCTCCTTAGATCTCAGGAAAAAAGTGTTTAAACTCATCTTTCATCCCACGCCGCACTGATCTCGACAGTGTTGGCTCCACATGACCCCTCCTCCAGTGTTGGCTCCACATGATCCCTCCTCCTCCTTTATGATCTCAGCCAATCCAATTCTTTCCCATATGAAAGCATTGGGTGGCTATTATGCATGCGTGGCATAATTCCGCTCTGCTCCAATCAGCATCTCCACATTAAATCAGTGCATCTCTAAATCAGTGCATCAGTGCAAAGCGTGGAGATGCTGAACGCCAGTGCTGCTCACTCTGCAGCACTGGTCTAGGAAGCATCCGTTAGTGGCCATCTGAGTTACTGCACCGAGAGGTGTTACTAGACAGCAATGTAATCACTGCCTTTTCTCTGAAAAGGTAGCGTTAACATTTGAAAATTCTGCAGGGATTACATTAGTCTGTATCTTACCCAAATGCACTCATATACCCCTTGCCAACCTCCATGATGGGGGAGGGCTAATGAACGAAAAGATAAAATATAATAAAAGATTCCCAGCTAAGAGAAACAATAAAGTCACTTAAATGTAAATCTCCAAAAAGCAGGCCCTAAGGCTAATTGTATTTAGAAATTAAAGAAGATCCCCAATAAAGAGTAACAGAGCAACTCTTCCAAGTTTTATTAAGTGCTTGTGTTTCCATTGATGGAATACATTTCATGTGTCAAACCATTCCTTGATTCCTGTCCAGTCAATTGTTTAGTAGAGATGGCCCTTACACCTTTCTTTAATAAATAATTTTGCCTAATAAGCAGCCATATTATAGAGTGTGAGGTTTTCACATCTGCACTTTTTATACAGGGCCAAACTATAAACGTAATACGTGCCAATTTTTAATCCGTATGATTTTCATATTACTCTTTACACATTAACACATGGAAACGCAAGCACTTAATACAACTTGGAATGTTACATAAACTATTAAAATTTAGGGATTCTCTGTTTTGTCCTCTTTAATGGGGTTAATTAACTCCTTTAAGAGGAAAGGTTTGTTTTTTACCGTAAGAACAATAAGGATGTGGAATTCTCACCTGACGAAGTGGTTTTATCAGTCGACTCTATACAGATGTTTAAACAGCAACTAGATGCATACTTTCAAAAACATAATATTAAATTACATATTTTTTTTAAACTGTGGGGTACTAGCTTCTTGATCCATGGATAAATCTGACTGCCGTTCTGGGGTCAAGAAGGAATCTTTTTTCTAATTTGCAAAATTGGAAGTGGTTCAAACTGAGTTTTCCTTCTTTTGGATCAACAGCAAAAACAAATGTGAGGAAGGTTAAACTTGTTGGACACATATCTCTTTTCAGCCCATGCAACAATAAGACTAAACCTCTTGTGACAGTGCTAACATGTCATGCATAGTAAAGGATCTTATATTATCTATACCTCACCCTCTATAAAAGCAGTTTCCAAACAAATCACTCCTAGAATGCTACAGTGCATGTAGGTAGGTTCTCCAGTTGAGAAGGTGCAAAAACATGCATTGTGCGGAACAAAATGGATTCATGTTAACCTATGATAATCATGTTACAGAAATTTCTCTGGTGAAAGGGATCCTATAGTGCCAGGAAAACAAAGCCATTTTCCTGGCACTCTAGGGTTATTAGGTAACCCCTTCCTCTCGCCCCCCCTACTTTTCCCCCACCACTTTTCCCCCACCACGTTAAAACCCCAGCAGGGAAGACCTAATGCACGTGCGCGGCAATGGCCGCATGCGCATTACACCTCCCCATAGGATTACATCTCCCCAAAGGAAAGCATTATTCAATGCTTTCCTACAGGGAAAATCTGACGCTGGAGGTCCGTAAGAACGTCCAGCGGCAGATAACGGACCAAATGTCCGTTTGGATTCCAGGAGGGCCCCAGTGGCTGTCTGTCAGCAGATTTAGAGCTGCAATGTAAACATTGCAGTTTCTCTGGAATTGTGATGTTTAACATTGCAGCACTAAATGCAAAAGGGTCACAGCACCGAGACCATTTCAATGAGCTGAAGTGGTCAGAGTGCCTACAGTGTCCCTTTAATGGAACCATACAGGAAATCCAGTCCATGATAATGGTAAGGATGTTTCATATATAATATAAACCGATTAATAACTGTTAAGTGTCCTTCTCTGTATGTCTGCTCTGCTCATGAAATTAATACATTTCACAATCATATTGAAATATCCCATTACAATTTCTATTAGCGTAACATTTTACTGGAAGCCGCAACTAAATGAGTTTAATATACTGGTTAATAAGGGTTCCTGTTTTAGACCCCTATAACCACTGTGTAACTGATTTAATGGAGTGATGCTACAGGCGGTCTTGATGGCATCTTCTCTATTTAATTAGCAACTGTTTGAATGGCTCAGTTTCCATACTTCCACCATTTGAGTCACTCCTTCCCTTACGTTATATATGCTACAGATTCCCTTACTCCAGCCATCTTAATTTGTGTGGAGAGATGGAACTTCACAATATTTTTCCCATGTGGATTTGTGTAATACGGTTGATGGCTTGTATGTACTTTACTACTTGTACTACTACGTAGAGTGCAAGCTGCCAGGACAAGCTCAGATTGGAAAACAAACAAATAAAAGCAAACTTGGTCTCCTGGTTTGTAGTGAGAGAGAGCTATTTTTTGCTATTTTATTTAGGCTATATTAAGTGACACTAGTGGTAGGCATGGAATGGGAGTTGTTTTTCTTTGTTATACTATTTAGTTGGGGTTTTTTTTGTTCTTTTAATAAGTGACCAACTGCATTTTTTTTTTCTTTTTATGTTGTAATGGTCCAGTAGAAAGGCTTAGTTGTTGGTAATTTATATCCTTTTTTTTTTATCTGGGGTTCTTCACTTTTTGATGGGGATAACTACTGCAAAACTAGTCATGGCTTCAAAATGTATTTTTGTTGGCTCCTACCATTTGTAATTTTTTTCTATAGTGCTCTTGAAATATGCCACTTACTCGTGTCATCAAAAAGACATGAACTCGCTATAGCTTTATTTAGGGTATCCAAGTTATTTCAACCTATTCGTGTTGCAAAACTGTTACCTGCATGAGAGGAACATAATTATATTTTCTCATTTTAAATAGGAAAAAAAGTAAACGGGGGAAAAAAAGGCTTTTCTTAAATTAATATTTTTTTCCATCACAGTTGTTCAAACTTTTGATGAAAAATAAATGTGCATGGGCAATTATTATTTTATTTCTCTGTGTAATAGAGTTTGAAAAACCGTGTTAATTTTGCAGCTTTTGATTATCTGTAAAATTGCAACGAAAGGGCTTTTTTGGGGTTCATTAAATAAAAAAAATTGCTGATTTCTCTTCCTGCGTAAATAGACTGTTTGTATGCTTTTTGGAGGGGTTAAACACCCATGAAATTACTTCTGTAATGTATTTTACATCCAATTTATTCTGACTGGGTTAAAATGAGGTTTGCAGAGTGGACTAAATTTCTCTTACTCTTACTGCCTGTATTGCACTATTTCCAGAAGAATAAACTTGTGAATCAGAAGAAACCAAGGAACTGAAGAGGTTAACATGCTCTTTTAAAATTGCCGTCCTCATTAGAACAAGAAAAACCAATAATTGGTCATTGGATTAAATTAAAGGAACTGCTATAATTGAAGGCAGGAATAGACTAGCATTAAGATTGTAGCTGCTAAAGCTGCATATCCCAGAATCCTCAGCCAGTCATAATGCCTCCATTGTCCATATCAACTGGAGGAAAAGACTTCTAATATTCTGTGTGCTAGACTTGCCAGTACTTGAGATATACAGCCAGAAGCATACTTCTCAATATCCCAAATTTTCATTGTATTTTTCATTTATCATTTTGATGGATATTTAAGTTACTGCATAACTGAGGAAATATGTTGTCTTGCTAGAAGATGGCCAAGATAGCAATTCAAACTATTTATAGACAGTTACTTAAGGTTAAACATACACTACACGGAGTCTGATTGTTATAGCTGTGGGATGCTGCAATACTCTAGTTCAGGGATAGGCAACCTTTTAGCAGAACTGTGCCGATATAGGATTGTGATGTCCCATTTTTTTAAATTGAGATGTTTGTTGCCGTATTCTGTTTGTGTTTTTTACTACTGCAGTTGCTTGGTATCGTTGTATTTGTGCGAATATAAGCTATTATATTGTATATGTTCATTAGTAGTTTATGGTATCGTGTATGATACATTTGAATGCAGGCTATGTATGGGGGCGGCTTGTGGAATTGTGTGTGGATGGATATGTCACATTGTGTGTTTGGTGGTGTGTGGGGGCTGTTTGGGGTATTGCATGTGAGACACTGCATGTGGGGTTGTGTGCATGTATGTGGATTGTTAGCGGGTTACGTTTGTGCAGATTGTGTGTTGTGTTTGTGTGTGGGCCATTTGTATTATTTGTATGAGTGTAGGGTTATTTCTACATTTCTGTGTACTGTGTATATCTAGCAGTGTGGGTGGCTTCCCTGGGTTCCAACGGGGACCAGGCTGGCCAGGTACAGGTCAAGGACAGGAGCTGCAACAGCAGCTGCGGGCCGCTCTACTACAGTGTGGTTTCCCATTCACAAGTGCTGGAATGAAGTGATCTGAGATTACTTCCTCTGCGTGCTGCAATTCATAAATTGAGGATTGTCCTTCACCACCTTTTCGTATTAGCAGATATCTGAAGTTTTACTAGAACTACTGATAGGCCAGAGCCTGTTTGGCTCTAGCAGCCTTGAGTGCCGTACAAAGACACCTTGAGTGCCGTGCATGGCACTAGTGCCGTAGGTTGCCTACCCCTGCTCTAGTTAGTAGAGTTTCCAAACCCTTTTGCTTAAGGGCCTCTCAATTTTCTACAGTTCAGAAGTAATGATAGTGGAAATGTGGAACTGCACTCTGTCCCAAGTGTTATGTAGCTGGGTGCAACCAGGCTAGTCCCAGTACCAGGGACCAAGTACTCAATAGCAGATAGAAGAAAGGTCCGGGCACTCCAAGGTGCAAAATGGGAAATATATTGAACCCACTGCCACTCACAACGTTTCGATCTATACATATTTAGGTTGAAACGTTGTGAGTGGCAGTGGGTTGAATAAACGTACCTTTTTGTACCTTGGAGTGTCTGGACCTTTCTTCTATCTGCTATCAATTTTCTACACTGATAACTTATCCCTACAAGCTTCAAGAATATTGTGTGTACTAGAGTCTAGTACACATAATATTCTCTAGGCTTGTAGGGATAAGTTATCAGTGTAGAAAAGTGAGTGAGACTCTTAAGCAGAAGGGTGGCTGAGAGGTGTGTAGAAGGCACAACTTCACCTTTAGGCAATTCACATCATCTTCTAGTACTTTACATACCAAGTGGATTGTAAATGTCACGGGACAGGGATCTTCGGAGTATTGAATAATACATGCATGCAGCAGATTATCATATTTATATTTTGTTTAGAGAATTCATATGTGTTTATAATTTACATTGAAGAGGATTACTATGAGCTAAAAGCCCTCACCTTGTCTGTCATTGTGTTAACCATTTTAGCAATGAAATAGCCACTTAATGTACATTGTGCTTTCGGCACCGAATGAGTAAAATTGCAATCAGCAGATTTTCTCTCCTAATTATAGGGGATTTTTAAAGATAACAGTTCAGTCATTTTTTTTCTCCCCTCAGAGTACTTGGGTGGAACCACATGCCACAGTTCTAAGGCTCTTTTTGTCTGTTTTAACAGAAAAAAATTAGACAAACGTGTTCAGAGCTGACAGCTACTGCTTTCCCTGTCATTAAATTATTAACTGCCATCTCTCAAGTATGGACTTTTTTTTTAGTAACAAAAAACATTTTTGGGAACATTAGACATGATTTACCACTATAATCAAGAATAATTCGGTTTAGAAAATTGCTCTTTTTAATTTGTTTTTAGCCTTTTTTGTTAAGTAGTTCAATCTATTTTGGTACATGCTGGATTAAGAATTTGCTGATATCTAATTTTGTATATTTATACCTGTAGATGTTGACTGATGTTGCTTTTGTGTTTTTCAGGTGAGGCAGCCACACCAATGCAGACCACACGGTACCCCAGTCCAGCTGAACTGGATGCCTACGCACAGAAAGTAGCTCACAGCCCACTGACCATCAAAATATTCCCTACAAACATCAGGGTTCCCCAGCACAAGCATCTAAATCGGACTGTAAATGGTTATGATACAACTGGTCAACGTTATAGTCCTTACCCGATGCATACAGGTGGATACCAAGGACTGCTTGCTGTTGTCAAATCTTCTAGCAAGAGTGTACTGAAGAATGTAGAGGGTAAACGGACTAAAATATCTACAACACAGGTTGGTGTTGCTCCTTACCCAATGTCAAGCACTTTAACACAAAACCAACCTTGCAGTGGACAGCTGAGTTATCTTGGAAGCCAGAAGCAACTAGATGCGCCAGTACCACCCAATGTGACTGTGGCAGCATCTGTCATTCCGTTAACGGGCAGGAATTTGGCACTTCAGCAATCAAACCTGCCCTCCATCCAGAGCATCATTTACCAGATTAACCAACAGTGCCAGGCTCAAGCTTCTCATCAGGCTTGCCAAGGGGTGGTGGTTACTAACTCCAGCCCCGCCAAGCAAGGTATGACTAGTGGCTTTACGTCCATGACTGGGAGCACTGTGACCTATGCTGGGACTGTCTTACAAGATTGTAGAGCAGGTAGTGAGCTAGCACTGGGGACAGCCCCTATGGTATCAAAAGCTGGATCTTATCAGGATGGCATTGACTACCTAATATGGCAACAGAAGCAACAGCAGCTCCGAATATACAGTGGGGGAAGTGGAGGGGGAGGAGCAATCAGCAAATCACCTGAAGTGTGTGCAGGAGTGTCTCGTCCTTATACTCTTGCTAGTGCAGTTGAAAAAGTCAGCTCCTCCCCTTTGAACTGTGTTGGCATGCACGGAAATTTCTCTGTGGGGCAGTATTTTGCCCCTCCTTGGAACAGCATCTTAGTCACGCCCAACAGTGACTGTTACAACCCCCAGGAACTTGCCAACGGGCACAGGGATTTGGGAGTACACCCATCAGACGGACTAACCAGCATCCCCAGCAAGACCCTTTGCAATACCTCTATTCTTAGTAGTAGCCTTCAATCCTTGGAGTATCTTATCAATGACATTCACCCACCCTGTATCAAGGAGCAGATGCTTGGCAAGGGTTATGAGACCGTGTCTGTGCCACGGCTTCTAGATCATCAGCATGCCCACATACGTCTGCCCATTTATAGATAAAAAGTCCTGCCCTTTTCGATATTCAAGTGGCCAACACTGGTTTTTCAATCTATATGATGTTACGTAGCTCTGAGGAGACATGCTAAAAAAGAGTTCAAAAGGCATGGGTTTCAGTAGCCATCCTACACTTCTTTGTGGTCAGAGAACACAGCCTTGTGAGGCCTTCTGGCCACAAATGAGTTTTACTTTTGTGGTCCAAAAAGCATAACTACTGCTGCCTGTAACCCTCAGTGCTTAGTCGGTTAACATCTTTTTAAAACATTTTCTGAGAATTGGGAGAAAGTGGTATGTCCTAAATAAAATCTTCATTGTGGCATATACCATCAAATTCTAGAATTGGTATCTACACTGAATGCAGGCTCATTTCCCTGAAATCTTATTAAATGTATTGTTTTGTTTTATTTTGCGTTTTCCAGTAAAGGAGACCGGACCAGTGAAACAGAAAATAAAGGGTAGCCTTAAAGTATCTATTTATTTATAGTAATAAATGCGAGGTATATGAACTATAATTTTGATTAACCCCTCTCTTGCCAATGTATTCTGCCAAATTTTCTCTTTTCAGTTGGTCTAGGCATTTTTTAGAGAATTTGAGCTGAATGTGAGCATGTTGTTATTAAATATGGAGTGGGAAAAGGTTGGACAAAGATTTAGTTAACAAAAGTTATTCTGTAGTCATTAGTGTTAGGCAAGCGACAGGACTCAGCCCTGCAAACCACATTGTCCTACCCATTTTTTTTCAGCCAGCTACAGATGATGGTAGCTGCGGTCTAAGAACTTGAAAGCAGGACACCATTCAAAACTGGTCTACAAACCACAGAAGGGTTACAGTCAAGACTGGTCAGATCTGGTCTACAAAAAGTTCAGAAGGGTGTACAGTCAAGACTGTCCAGATCTGGTCTACAAAAGGTTCCGAAGGGTTACAGTCAAGACTGTCCAGATCTGGTCTACAAAAGGTTCAGGTTACAATCAAGACTGTCCAGATCTGGTCTACAAAAGGTTTAGAAGGGTTACAGTCAAGACTTTCCAAAACCAGGTATTAAAGGTCAGGAGCACACATAATTCTCAGCATGGCAATGCAAAAATTCCCTTTATGCTGTTTTTAGAACCTGAAACCCTAATTTTAAATTAATGATATCACAGCTGTTGTAGTTATACAACAAATATGCAAACATTTTAATAAATTTAAAAAAAAAAAATTTAAATTTTAATTTTTTTTTACTTATGTGCATTTGTTGCAAATTCCCAGGCTTGTAGATTGGCTGAGACACCTCTTGGTCTGAACAGAACCTAGTCAGTAAGTTTCCATTATTTCCAATGGTAACCAAGCATTTACACTAAATCCTGCCCAGTAGTGATTCATTAGATATATAGTTTAGTACTTGACAGCATTCTATTCATCAGGGGATGATGAATGTAAATGCTGTCTAAATGGATAGAAGCTGTACTGCAGCTCACTTCAGCTTACTGACAGCTCCATTTAGAGTTTTGTGATAGTCACTGCGATCTTGTGAATAAGGCTCGGGCTCCATCTCCTTTCTTTTGCAAATGGCTACCATTAATAGCATTTGTTTGCTGGGAGACGGGGACAGAGAACCTCCTTGCACCATAACCTAAATGTGCACAGGTTTTTTTTATGGTTCTTGGTGTGTCTCTTTAAAATCATGATAGGAGTATGACTTTCAAGACCTCATTTAAGCAATATTGTGTACTTGCATCATAGAATACCATAGACACTAGACAAGTCGCACTATACATTTCTTACACGTTGCTCTTGGCCTGGCTTTAATGTGTGATAAATGCATAGATGGATGGACGTCCATAAAACGTCCATAACTCTCTACCAGTTTCATGGTAGATTATGGATTGTCATTGTTGCCTTACTCGTACATGACAAACACCATTCCTCAAGGTAACATATGCATTGGGGACATTTATAAAAGTCGTCCTAAGGGAAAAGTAATGCAAAAACCAAAATGTGGAGCAGCCCAAAGCGAATGCATTCGCCTCAGCAGGATTATTGTTGGTTTTCTTGGGCATTGATCCACTTTAAAACTATGCACCACTTTTCCCATAGCAACACTTTGAAAAAGTCTCCCCCACTGAGTTTATGGTGAAGCACTTAGCGGTTCAACAGTAGTAATTTTTCAAAAACATAAAGTAACTTGCTCTTGCGAGGCAGGGCAGAACACCTAGAACAGAACGGTCACATGTAGATTTACACACAACTCGGTAACTAACTAAAAGTTTTTATTTTTGAATTTACATCATCACGTAAATTATTATTATACCCACAGTGCCAATTACGTGGGAATATGGGTGTACATAAGCTTATGGTATTTAAGTAGTTGTGTGGTATTTATTTCTAAATTCTTGGGGCAGTGATGTCACTGTGGAGGTACGTGCTTTTTTTTTTTTTAACTTACCTGTACAGCTGTACTCACCCCAGTAAATGCATCCATGACAGCTGTGCTTTAAGATAGTTTAGTAATTCTGTGTGTATATTGCACAGAATTCCATTATAACTATTCAAGGATATTGTTTGCATTACCCACAGTGCATTGCAGATCTCACTGGCAACAAAGGGAGTTAATTTTTTAATTCATTTTAAATCTTATCATAAAATGGATTTCTTTTCTGTACATTTCCACTAAAATCTGGGCTTTATTGTTATCCCAGTTTATAAAATGAATAATAACGATGATTAAACTTCAAAGAATGTGAATGGTAGTTTAATGTTTTTAAAAAGATGCTGCTATTTTGGAGACAACAGAATACATCAATTTCTCTTCTGTGCTGCAAAATGTTAACAGTTATATATAGTATCAAAAATGATATATATAAATAGATATTACTATGTCATGCCAATGTTGCTTTATGTTATTGAACTTTATTTTATTGTTGCTTCGCTGCCAAAGGCTCTGGCAGAGAAGGGGTTAATTAATTAAACATTTAAGCTAATACTAATTTCTTTTTTTTTAGTCCATAACTTGCACTAGTGAAAGAGAAATAAAAAGAAAGAGTAGAGCTGAAGAGCGCCTGCAGGATGATCTTTAAATTAAAAAATAAATAAAATTATTTAAAAAAAACAAAACTTGAAAACTTGAATATAATTTTTTTGTAGTGTAATAAAATTGTATAATTTACATGTCGGCTGCTAAAAAAACAACTTTCCTCATATCCCAACAATGCTTTCTTTTGCTTGAATAGCCTTTCAAATCTTATTTTTCTGTTTTTCTTTTGTTTTGTTTTCTTTCTTTCTGAAATACAATGTTGTTCACTTGGTTCTTGGATCACTTTGCTATATAGAGCGAATGATAGTCCAGGAATGCAGATGTTAGCGCTGTTAGAATGTGCCATCTGTGAATTTCAATCTCCTTTTGCTAATCTCTGTTCTAAAAGATTTTTTTATTATACATTAAATGGAATAACATTTGAGTGTCCTTATTCTATCGATCTTTGAAGCACGTTTTCAATGACAATGCAACCGCAGTAACAAAATTTGCTCTTTTTACTAAATTGGCTTTCGGTTTGTAGTTTACTGTTACAGAACTCCTTCACACTTATATACCATCTTTTAGATCACCTGATTTTGTCTCTAATTTTGCTAAAACCCATTCAGAACAAGCAGAATTCCCTGTCTATAACTGTGCCTACCATCACTCATTGTCATTGTTCCACTTGTTCAGTCCTTATACCTCTTTATAATTCTTGTAGGTGCTCCTATACACATTCTGCAACTCCTGCTATAATCCCTCCTTGAGCAACCATATAATACTAACTCTATATGCTCCTATATATCCACTCTATAACTTTTCTAACCTCTCCAATAGGCATTCTATATTTCCTTCTATAACTTTTCCTATACTCATGCTTTAACAATTCTAACTCCTCTAAAGTCCACTCTACAAATCCTTCTCTAATCCCCACCCTGCAACTCCTTCTTTAACAGATCTTAACTCCACCTGTAACTGCCCCTGTGCCCACCCTACAACTTCTCCCATAACTGCCCCTGCACATCTTCCTGTAACTGCCTCTGTCCCCATGCTGCACATCTTCCTGTAACTGCCTCTGTCCCCATGCTGCACCTCCTCCTCCTGGAACTGCCCCATCCCATCTTGCAACTCCTCCTGTAACTGCCCCCATCCCCGTCTGGCAACTCCTTCTGTAACTGCCCCCATCCCCATCTTGCAGCTCCTCCTGTAACTGCCCCGTCCCCATCCTGCAACTCCTCCTGTAACTGACCCTGTCCCCATATTGCAACTCCTCCTGTAACTGACCCTGTCCCCATATTGCAACTCCTCCTGTAACTGACCCTGCAACTCCTCCTGTAACTGCCCCCGTCCTCACTGAGCCACTCATTGTTCTAACTTCTCCAATCTGCCCCATGATTCCTCTTATTCTCTCTCCTCTAACCTTGAGGAACTAGTTGTTTTATAATGGTCTGGAATTGCTACTTTATTTTTATATGCCCACCCAAACTGCTCCATAGATCGTATCCACTGATATACTTGTTCACTTTCTCATATCATTATGTAATTTCTATATTGCACCCTATAGTAGATGTACAGTATAGGAGCACATCCTTAAATGTGTTAATTACATTTCCTTACCTATTCCCTGTGATCATATAAATTGTTCCCTGTTCAGATGCCATCTGGCATGAAAATCATTGACCCATGAAGAGCCACAAGCCAAGCATTGATTCACAATGCACTGCTTGCCCCTGTTGACACTGTTAACGAATAAATCTGACACAAACTGAACATTTTTTTTTTCTTTCCACTAAATCATGCCTCTGTGAAACTTGCAATCTATTGTTTCATTGATGGCATACCTTGACACCCCTGGAGTTTGTGAACTATATTTCCCATGATGCTTAGCATCATGAAAAATATAGTTCATACTTATTTGAATGGAAAAGGTTAGCCATCAATGGGTTATATTTGGTCAAAAAAACAAGACCACAAAAAAATGCAGATGTACCATATGATGTAGGGTTTTTTTGTTTGTTTTTTCCCCAGAGTAAAATCAAACCATTATTTAAACTGAATGACTTGTGTTCATTTCATTTCTGCATTTGTGATACATGTAATTGTCTGTCAATCTTTTCATTTTGAAAAGTATGATATCTTAAAATGGAACCTTTTTCCTGCTCAAACACAAAAATAGAGCTACACTATCTAAGATTTTTTTTTTTGTCTGTTAGATTCATCATACAATATATTACACTGGCTAAGTTAAGGTCAGTAACACAAACGTATTCCTGACCCTATAGGGTTAAAACCACCATCTAGCCACCCTGGTCCCCTCATGCCTCCCTAAATATAGTAAAATCTTACTTGTATTCAAGTCTGGAGCTGCTTATTTTGTCCCTGTTTCCTTTAGACCTGCCTGCTGACATCTTCAGAAGTGGTAGCCTGATACAATCACAGTGCTTCCCCATAGGATTGGCTGAGACTGACAAAGAGGCAGATCAGGGGCAGAACCAGCACAATTCAAACACAGCCAATCAGCTTCTCCTCATAGAGATGAATCAATTAATCTCTATGATGAAAGTTCTGTGTCTGCATGCAGAGGGAGGAGATACTGAATGTTTGGATGCATTTTAGGCAGCCATGACCCAGGAAGGATCTCTCACAGCTATCTGAGGAGTGAGCCTGAAGGTAATGATTCTACTCACCAGAAGAAATTTAATAACCTGTAGTTGTTCTGGTGACTATAGTGTCCCTTTAAAATTACATTTCTTGTGTTTTCTTTCTTAGCCCCTTAAGGTAAAAAAATAAATGTAGCAATTCTGTATGGTCATTAGCCAGACATATCCAGTGTTCTCTATTGTTTACATTTACATAGCACATTAAGGGATAAATTGCACCATATCATTTAAAACTTCTCATGGACACTCTGTTAAAGGAACACTATAGGGTCAGGAACACAAACATGTATTCCTGACTCTATAGTGCTAAACCCACCATTTAGGTGACTTGCCTCCCCTTTCCATGGGGAAAGCATTGGATTGGCTAAAATCAGTAAGGGGGCGGGGTCAAACACTGTTTTGGCCAATCAGCACCTCTTCATAGAGATGCGTTGAATCAATACATCTCTATGCAGCGCTGAGCCAGGGAGCACCAGTGGCTATCTGAGGTGTGGCCACTTGGAGGTGTCCCTAGGGGCAATGTAAACATTGCATTTTCTCTGAAAAGGCAGTGTTTACATTAAAATGCCCAAAGGCAATGATTATACTCACCAGAACAACTACATTAAGATATAGATATAGATATATATATATATATATATATATATATAGATATATATATATATATATATATAGTTGTTCTGGTGACTATAGTGTCCCTTTAACTATAGTAACCTTATTCACTTAGTGTTTGTTCCAAATCAGGGAAGCAGCTTGTTGTGGGTGAGTGTAAGGGCAAGGTCTAGTAAGAATTTAAATACAACCACTCTAATATTATACAATCAGTGGCTTGTGTTTAGTGTGACATGCATACTAAGCCACTCGTAGGTGTAAAAACTTGTAATTTAAATTGTAACTTTATACCTCTTAGATATTGTCTGACACATTTTCACAAACTGGTACCACATACCATAAACATTCTTTATACTGCTTTATTCAATAATTTTATTTAAGATCCTCTAGCATTCTGAAAGATGATTGGAAGAGCTAGCATTCTGAAAGATGATGGGAGGAGCTCGCATTCTGAAAGATGATTGGAAGAGCTCGCATTCTGAAAAATGATGGGAAGGGCTAGCATTCTAAAAGATGATTGGAAGAGCTTGCATTCTGAAAGATGATGGGAAGGGCTAGCATTCTGAAAGATGATGGGAAGAGCTTGCATTCCGAAAGATGATGGGAAGGGCTTGCATTCTGAAAGATAATTGGAAGAGCTTGCATTCTGAAAGATGATGGGAAGAGCTTGCATTTTGAAAGATGATGGGAAGGGCTAGCATTCTGAAAGATGATGGGAAGAGCTTGAATTCTGAAAGAAGATGGGTGGATCTTGCATTCTGAAAGATGATTGGAAGAGCTCGCATTCTGAAGGATGATTGGAAGAGCTTGAATTCTGAAAGATGATTGGAAGAGCTTGCATTCTGAAAGATGATGGGAAGATCTAGCATTCTGAAAGATGATGGGAAGGGCTAGAATCTTAAAAGATGATGGGAAGGGCTCACATTCTGAAAGCTGATGGAAAGAGCTTGAATTCTGAAAGCTTATGGGAGGAGCTTGCATTCTGAAAGATGATGGGAAGGGCTCGCATTTTGAAAGATAATTGGAAGCGCTTGCATTCTGAAAGATGGGAAGAGCTTGCATTCTGAAAGATGATGGGAAGAGCTTGCATTCTGAAAGATGATGGGAAGGGCTAGCATTCTGAAAGCTGATGGGAAGAGCTTGAATTCTGAAAGAAGATGGGTGGATCTTGCATTCTGAAAGATGATTGGAAGAGCTTGAATTCTGAAAGATGATTGGAAGAGCTTGCATTCTGATAGATGATTGGAAGAGCTTGCATTCTGAAAGATGATTGGAAGAGTTTGCATTCTGAAAGATGATGGGAAGGGCTAGCATTCTGAGAGATGATTGGAAGGGCTTGCATTCTAAAAGATGATGGGAAGGGTTAGCATTCTAAAAGATGATGGGAAAAACTCAAATTCTAAAAGATGATGGGAAGAGCTCGCATTCTGAAAGATGATGGGAAGAGCTTGCATTCTGAAAGATGATGGGAAGGACTAGCATTCTGAGAGATGATTGGAAGGGCTTGCATTCTAAAAGATGATGGGAAGGGTTAGCATTCTAAAAGATGATGGGAAGAACTCAAATTCTAAAAGATGATGGGAAGAGCTCGCATTCTGAAAGATGATGGGAAGAGCTCGCATTCTGAAAGATGATGGGAAGAGCTTGAATTCTGAAAGATGATGGGAAGAGCTCGCATTCTAAAATGATGGGAAGAGCTCGCATTCTGAGAGATGATTGGAAGGGCTAGCATTCTTAAAGAAGATGGGAAGGGCTAGCATTCTAAAAGATGATGAGAAGGGCTCAAATTCTGAAAAATGGGAAGAGCTTGAATTCTGAAAGATGATGGGAAGGGCTAGCATTCTGAAAGATGATGGGTAGAGCTAGCATCGTTAAAGATGATGGGAAGAGCTTGCATTCTGAAAGATGATGGGAAGGGTTAGCATTCTGAAAATACATAATAAGGGAAAACAGTGAAGTTTAGAATTCCAGACTAATGCTGTCAGACCCTTTATAACAAGAGCTAATACCAGAGTGTCATTATCATTCTGTATGTTATGTAATAAGTGCCTTTTGAAAATGAGTTGGTCATTGTGGCTTAGCTATAATTAGCAATTATTATCATACACTTTTTAACCGGACTTTAGTTCTTTTTTCCCCAAAGCCTTTTTTTATATTTTACACTGTTTGAGTCTTTAGTGCATTTTTATTTATATTAATGTATATAAACGACAAATACTGAAAGTACATGGCATTATCTTTTGCTCAAAAAACTAGTAGGCAGTGGTGGAAAGCTACTTCTGCAGAAATGGAAATCTCTTAATTTGCTGATTTAACTATCTCACTCACAATGATGGTAATCCAGAGTAATACTGACCTGGTCTGCACTGGCAGAGCAAACAGATTTCTGCTGAGAACAATGGAGAGGCATGCATTAGTATAATTGTATTAAACTCCACACATACTCACTGCCTGTATCACTCTGGGGCTTGTCTATCTCAGCTGCCTTTAGAGAGAGGAGCATATGGTGTGTCATTACCAAAGCCCGGGGCCTAGCAGAAAATAAAGAAAGCTTAACACTAAGACAAACAGATGCATTTGAAGGTTCTGTGCTCATTAGAGGGAATGTTTTATCTAAGAAGGAATTTGTTTAGATTTGTTTTTATTCGGTCTCCAGGCTTTTAAAAAGAGAGCATTTTGTTCCTCTTAATGAAGTCTGTAACCCATTATGTGCCAGAGAATACAGCACGTTTCAGCTGCAGGTCCTCGTCAATGGAATAGACAATATATTTAAAGGGACACCAAAGATTGTTGTGCTAGTTAAGTTGCAAAGAGTATTTGCATGCAGTCTCCCCAGTTTCTAGCGACCCATTTTTAAGTAGTTTGACAAAAACAAAGACTTCTGTGTCACCCAAAATCCAAACCTCTGCTTCCATCAAAATATTGCAGTAGTTTCACCTCCACATCATCCATACAAATCCATTTAACTGGATGTTATGAGTGCTTGGGGCGTCTTATTGTCGTCCACATTGCTATATATAATGAGGAAATAACATTTCTCAGTATCTCGGAAGCAGAAATAGATGGCCTTTTTGTTCTGAAAAACCCACAGTTTCTGTCAAAAAGCTGAAAAATATTTTGGGAAAAAATTTGAGGGACTGTTTTTAAAACTCTTTATGAAGAAAAACATATTCTATAGATAAACAATACGACTATCCAAAATACATATACACACTTTCCACCTTTTGCTAATACGCAGGCGCAGAAGGCTCTCCTAGATATAACAATATACACCCCTTAACATTCTGCGTTAAATATAATAATTTAGCTCCGTAGTTTATATTTATTATATATGGACTGCATTACATTGACGCTCTGGTTAAGTTGCATTAAAGGGACACTATAAGCACCAGAATCACTTCATCTCTGAGAAACGGCATACTTTTATATTTCGGAATTCTCACTCCTCTAGTGGCTTTCATGCAGTAAGCCACTATAGAGTTCAGACTAAAAGAGATTCCATAACTGAATCTATTTTACATTCAGTGTCAGCAAGCAGAGTATACTGATGCTGGATCCTGGGTGCACATCCAATGCTTTGAATTCAATGCTTCTCAAGCACTGGACTGATGGATTTCAGCATTTTCTGTGCATGCTCCGTTTGTCGGCAATATATATAAGGCCAGTCTGGAAAGTATCCAGCCATGTAATATGAAAAATAGAGACATTTATTGAAGAAGATACAAGACATTATACATAGGACTATGAAGCCTCAGTCCCCTTCAAAGTA